TGGAGGAATTGTTAATGGGAATTTCACATGTGAGATACCTTTCATTGGTTTCCTTTTGATGCAAGTATTGACGTGCATGTACAGTTTTACCATCTCCACAGTTAACAGAGGACAATGCAAAAAACTTATTCACCTTAAGTGATTGTCTAATTAAACGACAGGTTGCCTGGCTCATATTCCATTGTTCTACTTGCTTACAAAACAATGGCATGGAAGAAATGGAATTCCTATCCGTGATTAGACACAAAAGTTGTCTTTTTGTGGAATTAGTTGTTCTCATTAATAAGGAAAGTACATGATTTCTCATTGCGGCGCTTAATTGTTCAAATCTAAAAATGATAAATCGTCCACTCTCTGCAAATACGGAACGCATGAGAAAAATATCTACATCAATCTCAGTTAATGATCCATCACAAAATAAAATATTTGAAGGATGAGTCTTGTTTTCCATCAATTGTGACAGATGGTAGTATTGATCTAATTCTGAAAGTGAAGAAATGTCTATAAACGAATTGGAGACAAGATCCGAAAGTAGAGCAGAATTAAACTCATAAACCATCGGAATTGATTCCTTTTCGATTATCTTGGTAAACTCACTTAAACCTCTCAACATTACATCTTCCATCTCCAAAATGATAGATCCAATACTGTCGAATTGGTTCCAAATAGATTCATCAGAAATGTCAAATTGATCCGTGACAGAACATAAAGATTGTTGAGTACGTTCTATAATTGAGGTCAATGTACTTTGATCAATATCAAAATATGAATTGACGATATGTACAAGTAGTTCTTGAGTTTCTCCAATACTTCGTAAATGTTGCAAAATAATGAGTCTTTGTTTCATGGTAAAGTATTTCAGATCAGTAGCCTTAACTTTTTCATGCCATTGTCTTGCCATGCTCTTTAATGTCTCTAAAATGTGTTCCAATGCTCTTGAGTTCAAAAGAATGTTGAGAGGAATGTTCAAATAACCATGCTGGAAACAAACATGAGAAATTTTGTGTAGTAAAGATACCACCTTAATAATAGACTCCAATAGCATGGAAGAATTACAAAACACTTCCATTTCCTCTGAAAATGATCTTTGAAATGTTGAACTAAGTATATACGACCTAAACTCTTTCTCATTAATAGAAGTGTTATCATCTTTCAAGTGAACAGTAACTGTTTGTGAATCTAAGTGATAGGCAAGAGTTCCTTGTTGTAGTATTCTGGCAACAATGAATTGAAGATTTTCGCTCGTATTATGCAATGACTTCAATGCATCACTCACTTTTTCCAAATTATTAGCGCATTCTTTGAATGAATCTAATTGACGTTGATTAACGTTCAATTCTGAAATCGATTTGAAAAACTCCTCAATGCTAGTGATTTTCTCGTCCATAGCTTTCAACAGTGGATCTGTTAACTTTTTCGTGGAAATTAAGTGTTGGATAATCTCTTCTGTAAAAGTATTTCCGTTGGCTTGATTGGTTAAAATTCTAATATCCTCTTCTCCAAGATTTTCTTTCTTGATGAATTCTACAAGAGTAACATGTTCAGTGTAGTATTGGAATGTTTTAAGAGTGGTTTCATCAATGTCTCCAATAATTTCTCTTATTTTTCTTAATTCTTTCATGCTGTCCTTGACACTAAATCTATCTTGCTTGGTGAGTATGGTAAATGTTTCTCCTTCAAATGGTAATTTATAAATGGTGACTAAATCTTTAAACGCTTTCATGTATTGTCGAAGTTGAAGCAGTTCAATTCCTGCCAATAACATGTCAACAGATTCTACAGGGCATCCGATCAAAGTTAAAAACTTTTTCTCTGTCTGTAAATAGAGTTTAGACAAGTTTGTGTGTAAATTTTTGATGCTCTCTAATTTGGCATTTCCTGAATAGAGCTTGTTAATAACATTGGTAATTTCACGAATTGCATCAGTTGCATTAGAAACGGCTTGATTAACAGTCAAACTTTTCTCTTCCTCTGATTTATAGTAACTGAAAAAGAGACCTGACTGAACGATAGTTTCCAGAATAGGAATTTCATTTCCTGTGTCTTTTTTGCATATTGTTGTCTCAAAACTTTTCTTAAATTCATCAATAACGGTTTGTATAGAATGAATGTCAGACTGAATTTCTCTTTTAGGCAAAACATCAAAATACAAGTCTAACTTGTTAATAGTCCGAATATAATCCTTCACATTGATCGAAAGTGAGGACAAGGAATTCAAGTCTTGAGTTAGAACCTTCGTGCTGTTTTTCAAAGAATTGAATTGTTCGACGTATAATGTCAAGTCATCTCTTTTAAACTGTGGACCAATAAAGTACTCCATTAATATAAAATATTGTTTACACATTTCTTCATCCTTGAGTAGGTTATTAGAAACGTGTTTTAAAGAAAAGGCATCATTTACAAATTTGTACACTTCTTCCTCATACAAATGCCGTTTTGATGCTATCAATTGAAGCACCTTATCACTTTCAATCATTAACAGACAAGTGAGATCTTTTGGATTATAAATATCGAACTCAGAAATAAATTCCTCACAAATAACAAAGATGATGGAAGTGTAGCAATTAATGTTGGAGTATTTGACAAAATTTTCTAATCCTTTTCTCATCCAAGTATTAGTAAAACGAGTACTGTTACATTTGAAGAACCTTCTCAAACACTTCCTCAAAACGAGGTCAAGGAATGTGTTGGGCTTTAAAATAATGCCAACTTGACTATAATCACTGCTCAATAAGAAACTTTGTCTCAGGAACTCGTAAACATTGTCCGTACTGAAAGGACGTGTATCATTCAACCACTTCTCTACATACTCTTTAACCTCATCTTTCAATAGCAAATCGTGTGCATTGTACTTGATAATATCAGAGATGAGTCTAATTTGAGTGCCTATAACTGGACTACTACTGAATGGGTATATGAAAGAATAACTATTGTTGCTCATGGACTCCTTTAACTTTTCCATCGTGTACAATTGAAGAAAAGGCTTTTCCTTGCACAGTCTAAACAACGCATGGAGAGAGGTGGAGGACGAGTATGCTTTTTTAGCTATCAATGTAGCAAATTGCTCATCACAATAGTTCTGTTGTAATATTTGATCAGCTATTTCTTGAGAAATGGTTCTTCTTGATTGTAATCTATTCTTTAACAAATCTCCAATGTACTCACTGATTGCTACAGCATGAAATGTTGAGAAATCTCTACTGGATTCTGCAACTAATATCATCTTATCTAACAGAGCTTGAATACATTGTGATCCTGTTCCTGCACCTTTGCTTTCCATCTTCAACAAATATTCTACAAGAGTGGTCATTCTTTCAGAGGTAAACTCCTCATTCGACAAGTTATTGATTAATTTGACCATGTAACATCCGTTAGACCTCTTTTTAAACATAATGTTCTCACAAGTATAGTCAACACCCATCTGAACTGCTTTGAGTAACTGTTGAATGGATGGGGTAGCTTGGTTCATATAATACTCAAAATAATTACAAAAGTTGTTATCATACTTCCAAGCAATATTGAACAAGAAATGAAGATATAGATAAGATGCTTTGTTCAGTTTTTGAACAAAAGAGCTCGTAGTAAATGGTTTGTTGAATAGGATATTCACTTTCCAAGCCATCTCTATTTCATCCTCTTTCTTAAAGAGATGATTGTTGGTTGGATTCCAAAATAACTTGGTTAGTGCCGATTCGAATCCATTGTTGGTGTGATAAAGATAGTACTTAATGTCTGGCCTGGTCAGCAAGGCTAGGGACTCTTGACTGGATTCCAAAACAAAAGGTCGTAATTTGGATGTTGTCAGAGCTAGAGTAGTATGAATGTCGCTGTTGTGAAGATATTGGTTGTAGTATTTGATAGCAACCGATAAGTGTCCATAAACAACAACGAAAAGGCCAAACTGAAAGCTCGTTGTACATGTCTCAATCGTGTTGTTGAAAGTAGCGGATATTTTCTTTAGATCTGTGATCAACTGATCAACATTGAGCGCACTAATCCACCCACTTTTGTGAAGTAGGTAGAATTCATCGAACGCTTTCTCTAAAGAGAGTAAATAGTCTCTAATGGAAGAACTTGACACATAATCCAAATTAGCAATACTTGTGATCAAGGTCGTCATGTTTGCGGCCTCATTGGAAATGTTGTTGGAAGATGAGGAGATAGAGACATTCTCATCAATGCTCTGATGGTGAGATTCCCTATCAGTTGTGTCAATGCTGGGAGCTGTTTCTTGCATAGATGATGAGGGAGCGTTGTTGCCAGTCGTCGGTGCTGAGGAGCGTGCTTGAATGCTTTCTGGTTGTCGATTTCGAGATCGGTCCGTGGCATGTGGTCGTTTCTTTGACATTCTCAAAGTCTTTTTTTTTTGTAATGATCAATATTTCAGCGTGATCGAGCGCTTTAAAGGGATGAAGCGCCCTTTTTTTACGTTGTTGGATCACGTTAGGTACATGTTCGATGAAAACTTCGTAACATCAGTTCAAAACACCCAAGCATGATCTTTATAAGATTTCGTTAGGTAAAGAGATGGGTAGGACACATCTTTCTGATTTCATTGGGTAACTTGAAGTATTTAAATGATATCTGGAAGAATATCATCGTCCAGGATAAAATCATCGTCAAGTAGGGGTGCTGCTTGGTGGTTAGAATGTTCTTCATTGTTCGACGTTTTGATCTTCTTTGTCTCAGGTTCCAATCCGTTTTGCTGTTTGCGATGAGTGCTACTAACATTACTTGGGGAGTGGCTCGTCGTTGAATGAGATGGAGTTTTGAAGGTAGTTGCCTTATTATTGCTACTACTACTACCACTGTTATTGGGAGAAGCATGTGCTCTCACAGGAGGTGTGAATGTTGGTACTTGTTTCGTTTGTGGAGTTGTTCCCTTGCCTTGAAGAGAATGAATCGTCTTATTTGAGGATGGAGTACTAGTAGTTCCAACATCTTTTTTGAACGAATACTTTTCAAAGAGTTGTGCCAAGTTTGAAGATGTAGAACTTGATCCATTTGTTGGTGATGATTTTGTACTATTTCCGACTGGGCTGGGTATTGAGGGAATGGAACTGGTTGTGATTGGAGGACGAGTAAATTGTGGAGTGGCCAGAGCAGTTGTGGTGGTGGTAGTTAAAGAATTTCCATTCATTAATAAACGAGGAGATGGTCGATGCGTTGAGGGAGGTGTTGAGAGGTTGTTCACGAACCCAACAATATTTGAATTTCTTGTTGTTGCTAGAAGATTGTTCGTTGCATCTGAGGGATTGACAACAGTGGTCGTAGTACTGGTGGTGTAATTCGACGGTGTTGTGGATGGTGCACTTCTCTTGAAAGCATTGGTTAATTTGAATAGAGTAGTAGCAGTACTAGATGAGTCATTTTGAGTAACGAGTGAATCCACATGTTCCATCGTCGTCTCTTCCACTCGATTGTTAGATGTCAACGTCGTTTCTTCACTTTGATCATCATTCACTTGTTGTTGATCATACAGTTGAGTCAGGATTCGATTTTGAGAGGAGGATGTATGACTATTCTTAAAGAATGGACTTGTTCTCATCATGGTCGATCTTGTTGTTTGTTTCTTTGGAGTTTGTGGTAACAAGGAAGAGGAGGTGCAGTGGTGTGTGATGGCATCATCCACTGGAACATCACTCTCTTCATCGTCACTCTTTGATCGATACTTTCTCTTTTTCAATAAGGATTTCTTTGCAAGAATTGTACTACTACTATCATCATCATCAAACTGCTCTTCTTCTTGATCATCTCTAAATGAACGATTAAAAGTTTTTGAACCTTCTCGGGTCGAGAGTGAGGAAAGTGTTTTGAGTAGAGATGATGATGATGACTGTTGTGAAGAGATTTTTGATGAATCATTCGATGATGGTTGTTGTTCAGGACTCATCATCAAGGCATCTCTAACATTGGGTGGTAATGATGAAATATCACCATTCTTTGGTACATTCATCAATTGTCGAAGAATATCAAGTCCACGTTTACGTTCTTGATGATTTGTTGAAGTTACTACCATACGATCAACGTTCAAAGTAATATTACTACTACTTGTATTGTTCATAGGAACGAGTGTCTTGCTACGATTGGTGACTTGCTTCGAGTGATGATTCTTGGTTCTTGGAGACTCCAAGTCGTCACTGTTATCATCATCACTCATTCTAGAATTCTCTTCATCACTATCTTCATGAATCAATTTCTTCTTTCCTTGTTGATTCTTTTCAAAATTTTCATACATTTCTGCTATTTCTTCTTCTTCACTATGAGTCATTCGTCGTTGTTGTTGAGATTTCAATGATGTTTCTCTTCTCTCAAATTCTACTTGTTGTACATTTTCATCAACATGTGATTCACCATCCACAGACTTTCCAACCACATCTAACTTTCTTTGAAGCATGGGCCACAAATATTCATCAAATGTTCCCTTTCCTAATAAATATTTAATATGAACAGAATTTTGTTGACCAATTCGATGGACTCGATCTTCTGCTTGTCTCAAATCACTTGGAGTCCAATATAATTCTGCAAATAGAACTGTACTGCATGGAGTCATGGTATAACCAACACCAGCAGCCTTAATGGAGAGAATGGCCACTCGACAATGACCATTTTGTTTGAAATTCGTGACCAGTGTTTGTCTTTTACTCGAATCTGTCGAGCCATCAATTCGAATATAATAATCACCTAATATTAATATTGGTATGAACACATGATGATTCGATATCCATATATTTTTGAATGATATATGTATAATAATATTATAAATCGATCAAAAGTTACATATATACGTTGAATGAAATAAAATTCAAAGAGAGAACATCCATATCGTTGAATAAATACAATGAAAATAATGAATAGAACATCCATATCGTTGAATGTATACAATGAATATAGTTGAAATGTATACAATGAATATAATGAATGTATACAATGAATATATAATGAATGAATATAATGAATGAATATAGTTGAAATGTATACAATATACCCTCCAATGGAATATAAAAATTTCAAACATACCTCTCATCTTCTTTTCAAGTTCTGAATCTTTCAATTTCAATTTATAAAACTTGGCAAGTTCCTTTGCCACACATTCTTCAATACCATCCAATACTTCTGTATGATAGGCAAATACAAGAAATTTCAAATCTCCAGTATTCTCAATCATTTCTGTAATGTATTCCTTGACAGCTGGTAATTTAGCAACTCCTGTCATGTTATACATTCTAAATACTTCAGAATTCTTTTCAAAATTGTTTTGATAATGATCTTCTTTGGTCATGGCATGTTTCATCTTTTCAACGGCACTCTTCATTTTCTCAGCTGAAAATTTAATTCGTTTCAAATCTTTTGCATCAATATCTAATAAAACTCGTTGTCGTTGTTTGGGTGGTAATTCAGATAGGACTGATTCTTTTCTTCTTCGAATCATGACTGTTCTACTCAGTAAATAATTTAATTCCATCACATTAGAACTTCCATTATCATCGACATAGTTTAGAGTTTCTTTAGCATCACAATATCGAATGGTAAAGGCTGATTTTGTAAATCGAAATTCTCGATCCAACAACAGAGAGAGTTGAGAATAGAGTTCCTTTGGTCTACTCAGTGCAGGTGTTCCAGTGATCATGACGAGACGTTTGACCTTTTGTAAGAAGGGTGCTATTTTTTGAGATCGTTTGGTTCCAGAGTTTTTAAGGGAATGACTTTCATCACAAATGACACATTTGAATTTCACTCCATTCAAAATTGCATTTTCATCATTCTCATCTTGAGGTTTCTCAGCAAGCATATTCGTAGCAACTGTATATGAAATGATATTAATATAACCATCAGGTATTTGTTTTGAATTTTCAATAATTTTGATATTCTCAGTGGTAATGTCTGAATGAACTCCACGTTCACCTGTAATAAACCAATCTTCAATTTCTTTTCCCCAATTGTGCTTCAATGATGCAGGACAAATGATTAAAAGTGGCCAATCTTCTTTAAAGTAATACATGGTTGAGAAACCTTGCAGTGTCTTTCCTACTCCCATTTCATCACCAAAGAGTACTTTACCATTTCGTTTCACTGCAAATGCAATTCCTTGTTTTTGGAAAGGTCTTAATTTTGAATTGACATATTTAGGTAATTTTTCTTTAAAATTTAACTCTTCACAAAGTGCATCTACATTGGATAAATCAATGGCTGGGTAATGATTTAAAAGTAATTTTGTACCTTCAGGAAAATCAACAATGATTATCTGAGCACCATCTACACGAGTTTCCAATAATAACTTCTTTAGAGTTGCATGTTCTGTGAGTGGAATAATAAATTCCAAATCGTTAAATTTTGTAATTTTCTTTTCTCTTGCAAACAAGTCATAGAGTGATTTCACCAACTTGTTGGTCACTGTTCCTAATCTGGGTAAGGTCATTAAAATACAATCGTAATTGTCTTTTTGAATAGAAAGTGTTTCATGTCGATCTTTGAGTTGTTTGTTCGCTTGTTGTAAAATATTACTTCCAACAATTTGAAAGGTAATGATATAGGGAGGACCTAACTTGATGTTAGACTCTATGGTTATTGAAGAAAAAGCACCACCTCGGTATGAGGATGGATGATCTAAATAAGCTGCAGGTTTTGTTCCTTCACTACACCATTCAAAATAACAATTTTGTGCTGCTGTACATGTCCAAAACAATCGACCTTTCGTTGGTCCTTCCTTTACGACTCTTCTTTGTATACATGCAATGTGATGCCGAGGACATAGAGGAGCCTGATCATTGTCGGAAGAGGATGTTGAAAAGGAGGTTGTGTGGTTGTTGTTACTACTACTACTACTACTGCTATTGCTACTACTATTACTCTTTCTAGCATCGGAATTATACGGTGTTTTGTTGGTTGTCAATGAATGATTAAAATTATTGGATGAAGAATCATTCCATTTGAAGAATTTACATCGTTGTGGGTCGTTGAAATTTCGAGCACAACCCCAGTATTCTCTTCCTGCGTTCGCTCCATTCTTTGTGGTTCGGAGTTGTGCTAGAGACCCACACGCACAATGAACAAAATCACCCTTCGACTCCGATGAAGTACTCATGGTTGTTGATATAATTTCTATTGTTGGTTGGGTTTTACGATTGTTGTTGGTTGGATTAAAAAAATGTTAATTCAATGTTCTTGATATTTTTTTTAAATTTACCATTCGAACCATCGAATTTTCCAATATTAATTGGAATAATGTGGTAATAAAAGAAAATATAAAGCAAATCAAGCCTTGAAGGAAAATGATGTGGTTGTTGGTGGATACAAAGTAGTTGTTTATGCTTTCAACAGTATCGTATTTTACTAGTTTCCCACAACAACAACCACCTGCTGAAAGACAATCTCCATATTAATAAAAAAATGTCCAACTCGATTCAAACCATCATCATTCTTTACGCTTCACAATCTGGCACATCGGAATATTTATCAAATCAATTATATGAAAATTTGAAATCTAAATTATCTTCTCTCACCATCAAGTGTGATTCTATTGAGAATTTCGAGCAATATCTTTCTCAATCCTATCTTCAACATCCAACTTTATATTTATTTGTGATTAGTACTTCACTGGAGGGATCTCCACCTTCATCAATGAGTGATTTTTCTGATTATACATCCACTCAAAAGGCTATTTCAGTATTTACGAGTCCTAACTTTGAATATTCAATTTTCGGAAATGGAAATTCAAATTATGAAGACACCTATCAACAAGCCTCAAGGCAATTCAAAGAATTATTAAAATCTAAATTCAATAGAAATCCATTGATTGAATGTAGAGAAGGCGATCAATCGGAAGGAAATGCAGAAGTTGAATGCGAAGAATGGGAAACTGATATTATTAATTATTTCAAGAGCCTTGAATGAGAGAGAGAGGTGTTTCTGAAATACTACGCCTCAGAGAAATGAAATTCCAAAATCATAAGCTCTATATATTTTGAAATCATTAGTTTTTCATTAAATTAAAGTTATTTATTGAAAGGATCTATGGTCATCCAAAATCGATATCCTTCTTCTTCTGGATTAAAATTTGAAAAAGCAGGATCGTTTGCAATACTTTCATTGAGGTTGTAATCATCTCTCGAATTCCAACTCGCATCAAATTCCTTCCATGTAGCAACATAGATTCCTGGATTTCTCGTCCATACTGGTTTACCATGAACGGGTGACCCTTTTCTAGTTGCAATTCTAGAAAATGAATCTGCAATAGTGACACAATTAATTTCATCAATTCCAGTAATAACCACAGCATGGGTATCTGCATTCGTGGAGGTCAATAAATTCATTCTCATACCAACAATGACTGGAAGACCTTTTTCCAATTTACTTCGTATCAAATCATAACCATTGTCAAATTCGCATGATGAGAGGTCGGTAGAAGATCGAGAATGAAACACTCTTCCAATCTTGTCAGAAGCACAGTCACTTGGATCAGATCCAAAATAACCCCATTCCACATTGCCATATAATTTTGCAATTTCAACTGTTGCTTTTGTGTGAGTTCCATTTCCCTTTGAAGACAATAGTTCGTTGTTGAGTGATAATTGCAAAACGCTGTCCAATGTCAATCTCTTCTCCTCCTCGAGTATTAAATTCAAAGCATACGTTATTGAACACACCACACAGGATCCAGATACATCAACTTGAAGTTGGTTGTAGGGTGGAAATGAATCACCATTTGGAATTTTGACAGTCTTGAATTGTGGTTCAGTGTTACAGGTCACAGAAACGTCTTCGGAAATGAGTGGCACCATTTTTTTTTATTGTTTTGTCATCTCTTTCTTTGGAGTCAATTGTGCAATTTCACAAAGGATGAGATATAAATTTAAATCAAGCCTCAAAGCGACTCGATAGTACATACACACGTGATTCATGAATCACTCTACTTGGATTGAGTTGGAGCAAATGTTTCATTGGCCTTCACTGAATCAACTTTTGGTGTTGGGAGTGGTAATGCAAATGGTACTTGATGCAACATGTATTGAATCATGAATTTACCTTCATCAATATCTTCATCAACGATCATGTCGCTCACAATTTGTTTCAATGCATTGAGGGTTGTTGAGTGATGATCATCATTACAAGATAATTGAATACTTTCAAGTAAACATGAACATGCCATCACATAAACCACACTACTCTGTGATTTGAGTGATTTCAAGAAATCATCTCGTAAAAATAATTCTTGAATTTTTAAATTCCACTCTTCATTTCGAGTTTTCATGAGAATGACTTGTAACAATCTCCAATACCATAACAAGATCATTTCCTCATCACTATCTTGTACTTTTTCAATAAAGTAATTTTCAACCAAATCACTGAAAATAGAATCATCTATTAGTGAATGATCATTACATTCATTCTGACACAAATATTCATATAAAATAAAAGAATACTTTTCAATCGATTCAATATTTTCTTCTTCGATGGATTCAATGAGATGAGAAATGAGAGATTTCAAATTCTTTTCATTCAATTCCTTTTCATTCTTCAATGCATGAATAATGACATTCTCTGAATGGAATGCACTTGTAATACCATCACGATATTCACCCAATGAAAAACCATAATCATTAAAATGTTCAATGTTGAAAAGAGTGTCGTGATGGTCAGATTCTAATTCACTTCTATCTTTGAGAGTTAATAATTCTTGTACTTGAACAAGAATATCTGAAGAGAGTCTTCCTTGATGATTTTCAATCAATTCTTCTAATGGATTAGTACTACGAGTATGTACAGGAATGATTTCTTTCAATAATTCATAAAGAGAATTCGATGATAAAGATTGAATGATAAATGATAGTATGGTCTCATTCTGTGGTTTGAATTGAGTGAAGAGATTCTTGAGAGCATTTTCAACCAAGTGTTGTTTCTTCTTTGAAAGAATATTCAATAAGGATGCAAGAATATCCATAATAATTTTGGCGCGATGAGCATTGAATTTTGATGGTTTTTGAGGAAGTTTAAAGTTGTCTTCTTCATTGTCTTCTTCATTGTCCTCTTCTTCTTCATCTTCTTCATCCTCATCCTCTTCTTCATCATCATTATCTTCAAATAATTCTTCATCCAATTCAAAATTCTTCACATGATTGGCCAATAAATAGACCAAATATTGAACAAGTGTTTGTAAAATTCGTGTACTCGTCCGGTCGAGAGACTTGACCTCAACAATAGAGAGAATCACTTGACTCAATACTCTCAAAAAGAGTAAACAATTCGCTTGAATGATTGGTGAGTCTCGATGATCTTCTAATAATAGACCATGTCCAACGAGAGTGATCAACTTTTTCAAAAGAGAGTTCGATCCTGTCGTTGTTGAGAGTGATTGAGCCTTCATGACTTGAATGAACATTTCAGAAAAACTCACTAAAAATCTCAATACATAACTTGCTGCTTCTCTCTTCTCTTCTTCATCGACAATATTGGGATTCAATGCATGTTCACTCAAAGAAGAACAAATCGAAAGAATCTTTTCTTGATTCACATGTCCAATCAATGAAGTTCTCAATGGTAGTGCAGAGTATTTAATTTCATCATCACCATGATACGATAAAATCATGATAATGCCATAGAGAGATTGAAGTGAATCTTTGATTGTAGAATGACCCACGTTGTAATACAAATCAATAACTCTTGCTAATTTCAATGTTGCAATAATAATCACCATTTCCTGATTAGGACTAGTCAATAACTTTTCAACAAGTTGAATCACTTTCAAAAGAGAGAATTTCTGTTCTTCTTGTTTCAAATATATTAAAAAGGATGAAAGAGCATGAATAGCAGCACATCTAGGATAATCTGAATTGTTTGAACCATTCATTGTATCTGTAGCACCAAATTGTAATACTTGGAATATTTGTTGATTCAATTCCATATTTGTACATGGTTCTATATTTTTAGTTTTCATAAATAAATCTTCAAAGGCTTTGAATACAGATTCTCTCACTTCATAATTTGTACTTTTAGATTCTTCTATTAATACTGAAATGACATGCACAGTCAATTGAGTAATTAAATCTTGAAGAGAGTATTCAGAAGATGTAGAGGAGAAGACTTGTACTGCTCGATTCAAAGAGAGCATGGCACCTGATTTGATCGGATATGAGGCATGGAATGTATTCTTATAGACCAATGATAATAAATCATTTAAAAATGAATTTTGAATAATTTGAATGAGAAGAGATCCATTGGAGAGTAATTGAATGACACTATAATTACCAGCATCTAGTAAGAGAGGATCATCACTCTTCAACATGAAGATAATACTGTCCTTCATCAATTGCAAGTAAGAAGAAAGAATACCTTCCTCACCATGACAATAGGGAGAGAGAATTTGTTCAGCGTTATTGCAATCCATATTAGTAGTATTCATCAAGAATATTGTAATAAATATATTGCAAAGAGTTTTACCAGCAATAGCATTGGGATTTGATGCTGATTTGTCATGCTTTGCTGTTGGAGTACTTGTCAATACTTTAGAAAGAGATGAATTAATGGTTGAAACAAGTTGAGAAGAAAGTGTGTTCAAGAGATTCACTGATTTGGAAATACTTTCAAATGCAAGACAAATACCATGTTGGTATTGCCATGATGGTTGTGATGAGTGAGTGAGAGAAATTAATTCTTCTAAAATACTTGAAACGGTAATTGTGCAACTAGATGCAGTAATAGATGCAGTAGTACTACTAATGGGTTGTTGAAACAAATGACGACTTGATAGATCTTGATCATTGATTAACATTTTCATGAAATTCAAAAATAACAATCCATTGGCTCTTCTCACATCAATGTCGAGATCATGGAATCTTTCAAATATCACCTTTTTAAATTGGCTTAATAGGGAAGGAATGTTGACACACATATCATGAATGATTGGCGATTCCAATGCTTTTGTTAAACTTCTGACAGCATATCTTCTAACATAGGAGGAATAACTTTCAAATTTTTGATCACTCGTGTGCTCAAATAGAATATTAATGATAAATTCAAAATCATCACGAGAAATCATGGTGCAATTCTTTAAAATATATCCCAAAGTATTCATCAAGCCTTCAACAGCCTTGTAAGGCTCCTCCGGTTGTTTCTTTTTTGGGTGTTGTAAAATGTCCAACACAAATTCTCTTGAAAGAAATGAATCCACACCAACGACTTTGGAAAGACCACCCAATGATTGAGCAGTAGCATCTCGTACTTCTCTTTTAGAGTCTGTAATGTTGTGAAGCAAATGTTTCAAGACTTGGTGTTCCGAACCTGGCTGATGATGTTCTGGTTGCTCTGTCGTGCTTGTAGTCTTTAATAATTTGAGTAAATCATCCTTTGAAAAAGTAAAGTAAAAGTGGATGAGAGCAAATGAAATAGTTTGCTTGAAGGACCAATCATCAAAGTGAGAGAGAATATCTTCAAAAATAGAGAACAACGTTGGTGCATGCTGTTGAAGAATAGTACTTGGATAATTGTACTCTCCTGATTTAATTTCATCAAACACCCTATCCAAAGCATCAATGAGAAGTTGTTTCTTTTCTCTATTGGGTCTGTGTTTGTGGCAAAAAGTTGCGAATTTTTATATTCATGAAGAATCGTACGAACGAATGATAAATACGAATGTTAATTAAATCATCATCAATGTTGATGATTCAACAACAGCTTGAACAACACCTACTTGTCGTGTTTCGAAATTTCAATCTTGTCTCTCAAATCGTTGAGAAGAGTTGGCCAAATGTCGGTGCTCATTGTTTTTTTCGGAAGCAAAGTTGTGTGCTTTCGGAATTTGATTCAATTCTTCAAATTTTTATTGAATTCTTGAGATTGGAATTCCAATGCTTTGATTCAACAACGCTCTTCTCGATTCACACTCTCAATGTCTGAGATTAGCATAGGGATCTACAGAGTGTGTGAGAACATCTTTGGAGGTAAAGTAGGAATCATTGGCATAATCAATATTGTATCCACTGTCATAAAATTGTGTTTGCCAACTGTTATTTTGTGAAAGAGTCAAGGTTAGAAGAGAAATGGTTCGAAATGCAATAATACATAGAAATTACAAACCTTTGATCGTTGACTTCATCTCCATAACCGTCTCTACCGTTTCTGTCAACCTTTCTCTTTCCATTCGATAATTCTTCAATTAATTGATCAAAATATTTCAAATCTTGACTTCTTCGCAAGGTTGGTAACCAAAATTTGATACATGAATCACGTGCATTGATCAAATTATTGTATTTAAACATTTCAACAACCATATGATTTAAAAAGTGAGGTTTGTAATGTTCAAATCCAGTCACTCCTAAGCATTTCAAAATTCTTGTAATTCTCAAATAATTGTGGAATGAATTGTTCAAGTGACTATATCTTCTCTTACAGGTCACTGGATTTCTACTAATCTTTCCACTGACTTCATCTTCCAACACCAAACCATAAAAATCAAGCATCAATCGATAGGATTTGATAATTCGAGCCTTGATGGTTGGATCACCACGCATGAGAGTAGCCTCGTTTTTAGTGAGAGGTTGAGAAGAGCCATTCAAGCCTTGTAATCGAATTGGAAATAGATATTGAATATAGCCATGATGCTCTTCCAATAAATCAAAATCTCCAAACCAATTGGTATGAATGTTATCAATAAAATCTCCTTGTGGGCGAGAACGAAGTGCATTGGTATAAAATTTAAAATTATCGAGACTGGTCGTGTCATTATCATCCAAAGAGGATGAGCCTCCAAATAAGAAACTTCTCATTCTGAATTGTTGGGAGGATATCGGAGTTGGTAAATGATGGTTATAGTTTTTCAATATTTCTTTTCCCTCTCTCGTGATGGAGAAGAGTGGTGTTGTTCTTGATTTGAGTAGAAAGGCCGTGATGAGGATGGCAAGAACAAGGATGACAGAACGCGTCGGTGTCGTTTTTTTTAGAATTTTTTTGTAACCAGGTTCCAGAGTTTCAATGCACTCCCTTTGCTACAAACGTCCTATTTATTTCATTACGCCAACAAGGACATTTGTTCTTCTTTGGTAGAAGAGCCATGTGTTTCTGAGCGATAGATCAACGCTTTCTTATGGACACCATAAATTGGTTTTGGCTCCTCAATTGCTTTCATTTCCATCAATCGTTCTCTCACTTTTGGAATTCCAAGATTTTCTCTCAATTGTTTATAAGCTTTCCATTTTCTTTTTTCTCTTCTCATTAATGAAACTAGAATACGAGAGAGCCAATGATTTCCCAATGCCATCATCGATGATTGAGATCCACAAAACACAACAACATGTATCAATCTCAACAAATTATAAAAAGTAAGAGATTTCAATAACTTTTTAAATGGATATTTCCAAATGAGTATCATTTCCCATAGATAGGTAATGAATAAATGTGCCAATCCATAACCCAATATTCTCAATTTAAAATCTATTGGAAATCCAATAAATTGAAATTCCTTCTTTAAAAAAGAGCATGGTTCAAATAAAATATAACTTGTAAATAAATACAACACAACGAGAAGGAACACATAAATAAAATTATCAGTGAAAAGATTTCTCTTAAATGGTTTGCTAATACTTTGTGTAATTGCAGCATTAATAACAGAAAAACAACATGCCAAATAAGTTATTGTTGTTTCATAACTCACAATATTATCTTTTGGATCTTTTCGTATTGGATCTGGTCGATACCATTTTGAGTTAAACAAAATTTCAAAGAATACTCCTAACATGAATGAAAAACCCCAAAATATTTGACCCAATAAACTCACGAGAATGAATCGAGAAAAGAGAGATTCAGGTGGTTTTTCTTTTTTCAATCTTGTTGAAGCTCTTGTATTGGGTTGTAATAAAACAATGGGTAGAATTATAAATAGATCAATATAGAGATATTGAAAATCACCAATAGTGGCATTTTGACGGTAAATGAGTACAGCAGCAAAGACTAGAGTGGTGCGTCATATATAAGATGACGAGTTGATTCATGTATGTGTGGAAAATAGCAAGTTGAAAAAGTCGTGAAAGTCATTGTAGACGTAATCAAAGTAACCAATCGTAGTGGTCATGATAGTAGTCCAAGTCGTAGTGGTCATGGTAGAGTAGTAGTATATAATAATCAATCAAATATATATATACATCAAAAAAGTAGTACAGCAACAACAACAACAACAATATTCAAAATATTCTAATGCAAGATACAACTTACATTCAAATAAAGAATAGAGTGCCATAAATTTAAAGACTTGAAAACTTGTAGAAAGTGATGCTCTTCCTTCTTTCATCACTTCAACCACAGATCGAATCGAGTTTTGAATACTTGTAAAGGGAGCTGCAATGGATGCTTCAGCTTCTGATAAACTCACACCCACATGAGCAGATTTGAGTGCTTCCACTGTGTGTGTGTGTTTGAAGCAATGGTTGTATTTGAATGTGTGTATGAGTGTATTTGTTTGAATGGTTGTGTTTGTTTGAAGCAAGGGTGGTATTTGAACGAGTGTGTGATGAAAACAATTTCAATCATGTATATGGGTGTGATGAAAACAATTAATTTCAGTCATGTTTGATTGATGGTCAGGTCGTTCATAGGTCCATAGGAATATCGTCAAGTTAAAGAATAAACATATTCTTCCATTAATGCCATGACTCAATGACTTACCATCATTAGATCCATCTCCACACATGATACACATGTAATCCATTTTTGTCATTTCTTCAATCACTTTCATTTTACCAGAAGGTGAAACTCTTGCATAGATTTGACACGATGCTAATATTCTATGAAGTAGAGATGGATTCTCTGTATCTACATAGATATGATTGTTGATTGGATGTATGTTGGTACTATTCAGAGCTCTTGGATGATAGGAGGAATGATCAATACTCGTACGAACTTGTTCAATATATTCCTTATGTGCCAATACAATACGATCAAAGACTTCACCAATAACAGCTAATTCATAATTTTCATCTTTAAAACTCATGGTCATTATTTCACGACTGGTTAATACTGGTGCATTGTGATCATCGACATTTCTCCAAACAATTCGATCATAGAGTGGAAGATAATGTTTCAATGGATTTCCTAAAATAGTTGTGAGAGGAGGGTGTGGTGAGGGATGGTCATCATTGATGGATTGAAGAGTATGACTTGTTGTAAGATGACCAACAGTGTTATATATACTATGATGATTACTATGATGATTACTACTACGATTACTGGTATGATTACTATTATGATTACTATTATGACTACTATTATGGTTACTGGTATGACTACTATTATGGTTACTGGTATGGTTACTATTATGGTTACTGGTATGACCACTGGTATGACCATTGTCATTACTACCACTCATTGTTTCTTCTTCTTTAAATTCAGATAAATAAATTGTCTTTCCTTTTTGTAAAATTCCACATTTACGTGCCACACATATCGTTGTAAATGGATTATCTCCTGTAATCACTACTGATCTCACATTACATTCATTAAGAGTTCGTATGACTGATGGTGTTTCTGGTTTTAATTTGTTTTCCATACAAATTAATCCAAGAAAACAAAGATTAGATTCTACTTCTTCTCTTAATAACTTATCAGCATATTGAGAAATTAAGAGATCAATTTCATTTCTTTGTTTTTGATAAAGATCATGATGACTTGAAGAATCTTGTCTTGTGTCATCATTGTTAGACCTTGTAGAATCCAAACTACTATCATTTAAAATGAATAACAAATCTCGAATACAGACTTTTCGAGTGGCACATCCCAATACTCGATAACCCTTATGTGAATATTTATACAAGACTTGTGAAAAGTCATTAGGAATGGTATCAGAATGAGAGAGTGTTTTTAACATTTCTGCTGAACCTTTCACAAAGAAATGTAAATCTCCAGTTTGTTTGTTTTGTGCAATGACAGACATTCGTTGAAGACTTGATTTGAAATCAAATACTTTGAGAATTGAATATTGAATAGAATCATTTTGAGATGAAATGATGGTGTGGTGAGAATTCTGGTTCAATGAACTCGGACTTGTTGAATGTAATGTATCAGTAGTAGTGGTAGTCGCAGTATTAATAGTAGTGGTAGTACTGGTAGTAGTACTGGTAGTATTAATAGTAGTAGCATTATGACCTCCTCCTCCTCCTCCAATAGGTTCTAATAATTTCCATCGAGTGGCTTCAAATAATTTCACATCTAATGGATCACCTACTAACTTGCCAAATACATTGGATAAATTATGACATGTGGCCATACATTGTACGAGTAATGACGAAGAAGAAAGATTGGTTAATAAATCCTTATCTTTGATAAGAGATGAAAATTGTGAAGTGTGGTTATAACTCATATTGTGAGTAGAATGATTCATTTTGGGAGTAGAATGATCATTAATGATTGGATTAATATGATCATCATTACTGATTGGAGTAGTGGTACTAGTTGGACTAGTTGGAGTAGTACTACTAATACATCCATTCATCATCATATTTTGATGTTTCGTCATTTTCACTTCTACCACTCCATGTAAATCTAATCCATCTCTTGTCAATGTATTGGTCTTATCAAAACATGCTAAATTCACTCGACCACTCACATTAATTCTTGGAGGACTAATGCAAAAGATTCCCTATATACATCATGAACATAATATTTCAATCATGAACATAATATTTCAATATGTAGTGATGTATGTATGGGGTATGGTTGTAGTAGTAGTGATGTAGTAGTAGTGATGTAATAATAATGTATGGATGGTCAAGCAATGTACATTTAAATTCATTCATTCCACATTCCATAATGGTTATCATACTAGTAGTTGTTTAAAAAAACATACCTTTTTCTTTAATCTTGAAATGGCCAATGATACAGTTGTGGTCATGGCAATGGGTAATGCAGGTGGTACAATGGTAGTAATGAGATCAAAACATCCTGTAATCATTTCTCGAATAGGTGCATTCTTAATAGCCTATTGTTGGGCAATGATCAATTTATACGTGTGGGTCGTCGTAGCATTCAAGTATAAACATGTCATTATTATTAAACGAACAAATCACGATCATCACCATCGTAATCGTAATCGTACACACACATTCACACACACACATTCACAACAACACGACACCTACCTGATTATATAAACTATAACTAATTCCAGCCAATCCAAATAAAAACATGAATAACAAAAATTTCATAGAATCACTGTAAAATGAAAATTGATTTGGTTTTGGATGCAAAATAGATAAAACTAATTTTCCTTTTGCAGTTTGAAATCCAGTTTGAGTAACCATTGCAATAACTATTTCCTTATTATGACTTGTTTCTCCACTGTGGTGAGTAATTTCATCAACAACATTCAATGTACTTGGTTTTGTCATGATGACTTGAGTACCTGAAAAGAGAGTATGACTCTTATCACGCTTTGAATTGTAAACTTCTTTTTGTGAATTTGATTTTGGAATTGATACTTTCTGTGTGAATTTATATCACCACCCATTCATTCATTCAGTGATAGATGATTATCACCACCCATTCATCCATTCATCCATTCAGTGATAGATCATCATTCAGAATTTGTGTGAATAATAAACAGTTCCATGCATGTACACATACCTTTGTAGGTGTAGATTCACCAGTGAGCATACTTTCATTCATAATGACACTTCCATGAACAAGTACACAATCACATGGTAAAATCATTTCATTTTCAATTTCAATGAAATCACCTGGTAATAAGAGTGTCGAATCTATACGATGTTTCACTAGTACTTTTTTTTTAGAATGATATCGAGTCCAAAAAGTATTAAAATGATTATTATGACTATTATTCGGATTATGAATGACATTCTTGTTGAAAGTCTGTTGATCATTTTGACTACTTCTTTGACTATTATTACTTTGACTACTACTATTACTTTGACTATTATTACTATGATTATTACTTTGACTACTACTATTACTATGATTATTACTTTGACTGCTACTATTACTTTGAGTCATTCTCATATTGACACTACATGTATTTAATCGATTCACTCCACAATGAAAACTTGTCATTTCTTTTAATTTAATCATATTACTTCTAGTTTCCCACATACTCAATAGAGAACTTATTGAAGAAATGACTGCAATAGCAACTGCATAAATGTAATAATTTTCACTCAACCATACACAAACACTTGCTACTTGAAATAAATAGAATGGATGTAAGACTTCATCTAAAAGTAGAGAAATGACATTTCTAACTTTGGTTTCAATAGTATTCACTCCAAATAGAGATTTCTTTAAATGTCTGTTTTGGGAATGATCTTGTTTGCATTCAGTAGTGAGAGAAGAATCATTCCTTGCATGCCATTCGGTTGTAGAGTTTGTTAAATGATCATGTAAATCTGCAAATGGTAAGAGAGTATTGTGATGAACTCTTTGAAATTGATCGGTTTCATCATTGTAAATATAATTTAAATTTCTATATTTGAATAAACGAATGGATACTTGAATGGTACTTTGATTTGAAGATGTAGTATGGGTACTTGGATTTGAATCTATAGCATGGGTATTTGGATTTGAATCTATAGTATGGGTACTTTCATTTGATGTATGATGTAATTGTTGTTTCAATGAATCATGTAATGTTTGAATATCCACTCTCACATTCACTTGTTCAATTTTGCAAATCGTAATTTGATGTGTCTCTTTTGCCTTGATAAGAACAGCATCTGCTTGACGAAATGAAGTATTTTGAAATAATGGTGTTTCAAAATGATCACTATTCGTAGGATTGTTAGTGGGATTATTATTAGTAGTATTAGAATTATTATCATCATTACTATTTGTAGGAGTATCATCATTAACAATATCAGTATTAGTAGTAGTAGTAGTATTATTAGAATGATTCATCTTTTTATAAATTCGATTGTGTTGAATTCGATCCTTGAACCAATCGAACCAAAAACAAAGTAATAATAATGAACCTAAACTCAACACAACACCCAACCAAAAGAGAATGAACCAAAGCCATGAAAATTTCAATCCAATACAACTCTCCATTTCATGAACTTGTTCATCTCCTTTCGATACATCGGGTAGAGAATGAAATTCATGGAGAGGAATGGAATATTTGGACAAAATGAATTGTCGTACGAGTCGAGTTGTTGTTGTTTGTGATGATGCTTCAGTAGTGAGTTTTTCATTTTTCTTTCGTTTCATCATTCTATGATGTGTGAGTGTGCGTGAGTGATGAGATGGGATAAAGATACACAAACTTCTTTTGTGATTGAATATTGGGAAAATTAAAATAATAGGATGAAAGAAGATTGAATGTTTTTTTTGAACGATGAAGATTTTACTTGAACGAAACAGCAAGCTCAGGTGTATGTACTGTAAGTTTTCAAGAAACGAAAAAAAAAATCGAATCGCGGACATTAAACATTGCCCCAATCAGCTTCAACATTTAAGAATATACTCTTCACCGGACTTGAAATGAATCATCCTTCCACATTGTGTCCCTCTCAATATTATTATTTAAAACCCATCACTGAAATTATAACATGTTCACTCTCAACATCATCCTTCCATTCCATTCAATCCATTCCATATCCAATCACTAAATCCTCTCAAACTCTTTATTATTCTCTTCAAAGTTTATCCATTCTTGATTGTTCACATAATTCAATTTTAAATAATTTATTAGAAAATAATCAAATTAATATTAAATTATTTATTAAATTATTATTAGAGGATGAAGAATCAAAATATCATGGAGATGATAATTATTTAGTTTATCATTTAAATGGAATGCAATTTGAAATACAACAATATTTTACATCAAGTATTGAATTCATCTTGGAAATTTTTGAAATGAATGATCCTAACATTTCACAAATGGTGATGAATCATTGTAAAGATATTAAATTATATTGCAGTGCTCTATCATGCATCAGTTCACCAATGATTGAGAGAAATGAATCAACTCTTGCCAAATTTAATGACACTCATTGTTCACAAAATAGTCTATTCGTTCATCATCATTCAATACATTCTGCTTCTAACATGACTCCATCGAATCCATTGATTCATTCTTACAGGACGACTCATTCTAATGATCCATTCTCTACCACAGCCACAGCCACTACCACTACTGTTGTTGATTCATCATTTATCTCTCCAACAATTAATATTGATAAATACATGAAACAACGACACAAATTATTTTCTAAATTTGATCAAGGTATAAAATTAGATACCACTTCATGGTATGAAGTTACACCAGAGAGTATTGCAAAATATATTGCAGAGAAAATTAATTCTTTGGGTTTCAAAGTGAGTAAGGATGATGATGATTCACTCCACAACAACCATCATGAATGGATGAATGATCCATCCATTCCTCAATCCATTCCTCAAACCATTCCTCAAACCATTCCTCAAACAAGAACAACATCCATGACTCTATCCAATCCTCAAATAATAACAACACCATCAACAACACCTCAAATAATAGTAACACCATCAACAACAACAACAACACGTCCTCTCAACACCAAGATTATTGTCATTGATGCATTTACAGGATGTGGTGGTAACATGATACAATTTCTATTACAACCAAATATAGATCTAGTCATTGGATGTGATATTTCTGATACTAAATTAGAATATTGTAAACATAATATCAAAGTGTATGGATGCAATGAAAGTAAAATGAAATTAATTCATGGAGATTATATGGAACATGTTCGAAAAGGAACCTTTTCCAAAATAATTCAAGAATATTTAATAGAAGAGAAGAACAAGTTACAAAATCTCATCCAAGAAGAATGTGAAATGATCCATCATCAAGTAGAATATAAAGTCATTGCATTCTTAGCACCACCTTATGGCACCATGAATTATCTCTCTAATATTTATAATTTAAAAACTGATTTATTAATTAATAATAATACTCATAATGGTATTGATATCTATAGATATACTAGAGATTATTTAACAACAAGTATTATTTATTTATTACCAAAGAATGTGAATATTTATCAAGTGAGTTATCAAATGGAAAGGAGTGGTTCAAATAGAAGTGGTAGTAATAGTAGTAATAGTGGTAATAGCAGTAATAGTAATAATAATAATACCATTATCAATGATCATAGTACCACTACCGATCAAGAATCATCTAAATATCTAGATTTTGAATATATTTACATGGATGATGTTTATTTAAAATTAATATTCATGTACACGAGTGAATTTATTGAGCAGCAAATAGAATGAAATATTATCGATCGTCTTGACTCGGCCATGAATGAAGTGAATGGTGTTACAAACTCTCAATGTGTTTGTATCCATTGCACTCTATCCACTTTAATTGTATCATGGAAACCCTACCATAGGTTGGTAAGTTTGAACTACGCTCGATCGAATTTTGGTCGAGTGCAATTTCAATGAGCCATTCATGATGTATTGAATCAAATTGTAAAGAATTGAGACACTTGGTCTTTTAAACCTTGTTCGATGGTAATAAAAAAATGGTTCGACACTACTTGTATCGATATTTGAGCCTTCCTCATTCCATGATGACCAATGACTCTTCGGATCATCATCATGATGACCAGTGTAGTCATTCCGAATTATTATCTCAACAATTACAACATTTAAAGATATTTCCATCACTCGAATCGTCGTCGTCGTCATCATCATCATCATTTCCACCATTCGAACCATCATTGACACAACCAACATTCTCAGACCACCACCACCCCCATCTCCTCCACCACATCCACATTTCAACACTCATTCAAACAAGTTCCAACAAGTATCTATTAATCAATGTTGGAGAAGGTACTCAACACATTTTATTGAAACACAAATTACCACCCAATCGAATTGAAGTCATTATCATTACACAAATGAAAAATACTCATGTGAATGGATTGTGTGGATTATTATCTTATATTTTAATGAAAAAGACTAAATCTGATGATCAACATCGAAGTATTCCATTTCTCACTGTGATTGGACCCACTGGTTTAATTCATTATATTAAAACCATGTTTAGAATTACTCAAACCTTTTATGAAAAGATTCCAATGATATTTATTGAAATTGATCAACATGGAAATAGACAATTCTTTGAAACGAGTCAACTCAAAGATAAAACTCTCTTTATTGAACCTCATTTACAACATAAGGAAAACAAATTAATTGAGAATTCTATTTTGAAATATCCAATTAATAACAAGATTCATTTATATTTATTTGTAAATCCAACAACAATGGTATGGAATAATAATAGAGCACAGTCATCTGAAAAGACAGTATTGAATATATGCATACGGGAAGTGAATTCAAGTGGATTTGATAAACAAAAACTAGCTCACTATGGAATTTCTAATATTAAAATTAAGGATTTGAATGAAAATGGGTCGGTAGAATTGGAAGATGGAAGAGTTATTACTATGGACATGGTTGCAACCCATGGAATGGTAACCAAACAATTGGTGTACACAACCATACCAATGAACACTAATGTGTCTTGTATACAAAACCATGACAAGAATACAAGTGATCAAGACAAGTCACCTACTTGTTTCAATCCACCACAAACCAGCAAAACGAACATTTGTTTTATTGAGGCACCAAATGATCAAGTTGTGGACACCACAGACTCACCCCATGTATATCCTTTACAGTACTATTTAGCTGTAACAGATATTGACACATACGAACACAAGATTAGCTTTTGAGGAGCATGGTGCATCTTCTTCAACCCTTTCATAAACTAATATTTATACAAACCATAATGTGCAATTTTTTTTTCAAATTTTCTTTTGACAACACCCAACACCATTAACCATTACTAAGTCTCCTCGAGAGACGCTATATCAAAATTGGCAACGATACAGAGAAGATTAGCATTCTCCCTGGACTAAGGATGACACAACTGATCGAGAAAGTATCCCTACTTTTTTTACAACTTTTGCGCAGTCTTATCATTTGCAACCTTAAAATCATGGCAATTAGTTAAAAAGTAGTGCTGCTTCTGAGTCAACCTTGTTTTCGATACAAAACACTTTGGTTCTTTTCAGAACATTCAATGTTTGGCAGGATTAAAATGATTATTTTGAGCATTGTTGAGTCACATCATTATTGACACAATTATTGATAGCTGTTGCGATGGTAATAATTTTGTAATTGCTGCTACTATCTTTCATCCAAGGTTTGGAGCCAACCAAATCTATGACGGTTAAATAATGACGAATTCTGAAAGAATTTTGTCTTTTGAGGGTTTTGGTTTGAACGGTTCTCGTTTGAAAGTGGCATGATGCAAATTCAACCTGTTCTCCTTGAAGGATCTCATCTTTTTTGATCAAAAAATTTTTAGACACAATTTTTGTCGTTGCCCAATCTTTCAAAATAGAACATACCAACCCAAAACATTGATGGCAATCGGAGTAAGGGAATCCAATGTCTTTTTGGATTAGTAGCCCTAATACAAGAAACAATAAAGCTTAAACTTGGTGTTTCCAGGTCCATACAAACGTTCAACTTTTCTAAATCAAACATATCTTCAGTGATTCATAGAGGAACAATATGCTTCAGCGTGCAATCTTCATTTTCTTCAAATATGACTTGCGATGAAGACATGAGTATTATGTTTATCATTGTTTGACAATACCCAGCGAAAAGCATAGAACGCAAAGATGTTTAAGAATTCGTAAACAATGTTAATGATGCTTAACTACGTGTTTCATCATCTTTGCCCAGGTAAGATTACTATTATCTAGGGCATGTCATTCTTCAGTTGTTTTACATAGTAATGTATTATTAAAGTTAAAATAAATTAAAAGGATGGATTCAATAAATACCTCTCGATAAATAGCCTAAATTGCATGTAACGAGTGTATGTAAGTAACAGAAAATTGATGTGTTATATCCTGCTAATATCCAGAATATCGTAATTATGATATTATTATACAATACTTGTTAACAACGAATTGGAACCAGCATTCTTGGACGCTTTATCTGTAACATAACGTGGACTGGTTTTAATTTGATTATACAATACCGGGATGAATATAGATCATTTATATGTTAGTAGTGCTTCAATCAAATCATCAACACATTGTTAATTTGAAACCAAATCAAGAATATTCAAGTCTACTTCACCACAAGTGATCATAAAATAGTTTAGCACAATACCAATTTGTTAAACAAGAAATTGATACAAACCATGTTCCTTGAAAAACATCGCAATAATGAGACGAACACATCGTTGAGCGAATCAACGACGGATGAAATGTAAAAAAGAAGTTGGAAAATCCATCAATGATAAGGCCAAAGCCAATCGCAGTCACAAAATTGTAAAAGGAAATAACTGAGCAAATCAATGATAAATAAGGCCAGTTAATACAACAAAGTGTTGTGAATTCTAAACATAATGGGAAGGGAGGGTGTTGTTGCGGTGCCAGACTGCCTTTCTTTTCAGAACAATTCAATTTTTCTCTCAACCATGCTAGGTCTTTAATAATAATAATTTGATTAATGGAATGTTATTGAGCCTTCCAATCAAGTGAGAAAAGATTTACTCTTTCTTGGTTTTTGTCCTCATTTTCAGCATTCTTGTCTTGATTTTCACAACATTCTTCTTTCCGACTTGATTCAAAACACTTGTTGAAAAGTTTTTCAAACAATTGTGAAGTTTGGTGCACAAGAGAAAGCATGGAAAAGCTTGTTCTTTAGGAGGCCGTATCCACCAGCCCAATATTGTCAAAACAGGTTAAATAGTAATTCGAGGTTTAAATGAACAGATCTTTCAAAGGCAAATACAAGCTGAATAGTCAAACCGTAATAACCACATCATAAGAACATAAGCAATACCTCTTTATGTGATGAAAGTGAGGGTGTTTCATGTCCAGCCTTGCAAATAAAATTCGTTGGCACAAAGGGATAACATAAAAAAATGCAACAACCCTTCTTCAATTCTGCTCCACCAGTAAATACAGGTACGTTACATTCTTCTGATTGGTTCGGACCATGATCAGCAACAACAACACTAAACAGTGAATGACAATGCAAACAAACGAACATTGAGTACATTCCTTCAACAACATACCATGTCATCTACTCACCCCGTGATGGCGACCAACAATCCCTACCTCCAACAACAAAAGTAAGTGTTTTTCAAAGTAGTAGATGATTAAAAAACTTTAAATCTCTTTGATTCATCCAATGAATGATCATAACAATTCCATCATTAAATTCCAACAACAACATCATTTAATTCCCATAACAACATCACGATGAAATTCCATCATCAATTCCATCATTAAATTCCAATAACAACATTACGATGAACAACCAAATTCCAATAATACAACAACAACAACAATACTCACTCCCAACAAAAAACACCCAACAAAAAACACCCAAAAACAACCCACCCAAAACAACACCAACTCACTCCCAAAACAACACTTTAGAAAATCTAAAATTGATTACATTCAATTACCTGAAAAAGTCAAAGATACCATCTCGGAAAGTGAAATTTATTCCATTCTTTTAAATTATGAACATCGATTGGATGTCTTACTCTCTGAAAAGAAACAACATATGCGTCAATTATTATTAAATAATGAAACATCAAGTGAAACATTACGAATCTATGTCACACATCAACGAAAACAAATCTCAAAAACAGAAGAAGAATGGAGATTTGGAATTCAAGGTGGTATTGTTAGAACAAGTAGTAATATGGCTACCATTGAACACTACAAATTTACAAATTTCTTAAAATCAATGATTATTGAATTAGATAGAAGTGTATTTTCAGGAGGTGAAGATTTTATTGAATGGAATTCATTACCTTCTCAACCTATGAAGGATGGATTTACATTTACTCGTCGAGTGAATCTTTCTAAATTATATGAATTATATCCTCAAAATGTCTATCCATTGAAATTATTATTTCATTTCAAACAAGATCCTCCTCTCTATGAGATTTCAAATGTGTATTTGAAGAGATTGATTCATTCCACTGAAGAATATAGTCGAAGAGCAAGTGGTCAGGGTCAGAGTGGTGGTCATTCTTTGGATTCATTGGGTACTGGTTCCGGTGTGGGTACTACCATGGGTGGTACTGGTTCTATGGGTTCTATGGGTACTACCATGGGTGGTACTGGTTCTATGGGTTCTATGGGTAGTACTGGTATGGACCATCATGATGAAGAAACCTTTACATTGAATCAAATTCTATCCATGATTTGGGAATATATTACCAAGAATCGTTTGTATGATAGTGAAGACAAATCCTTGATTCGATGTGATGAATTGTTGACTCTTATTCAAGCATCAAGTGTGGGTACGGGTACTACTATGGGTTCTACTACGACTACTGGTATTACTGGTTCTACTATGGGTACTGGTTCTACGACTACTGGTATTACTGGTTCTACTACTACTACTACAACTACTACAACTACTACAACTACAACAGATCAAGAAAGTTCCAACTCTTCCAATCATGTTGTTCTCTCCTATACAGAAATTCTCAAAAAAGTCAAATCTCTTCTCACCATTCCCATCCACTCGACCGTAGCAGAGATTATTCATCCCATTCCATTCTCACCAACCAATGATGCAAACTTGCAACAACCATTCACAGCAGCAGGAACACTCTCTCAACAGCATTCTTCATTCAATGGTGCATCTAAAAAAGACGTTCCTGTTCAAGTGAATACTCCTCATCAGGCTAAAACCAATGCTTCGATTGAAAAGATTTTAAATGATGAACCCAATGAAGAAATTGAAAATATTAATAAGAATATTCAAAATGTCATTCAAGACATTAAACAACGATCTGAAAAGATGAAATTTATGAAGAAATTTGCAGAAGATCCAGTGAATACTCTTCATGCATTGATTGATTCCCAAACTAGAGATTTACTTGTATTGCACAAGAAACAGAGTGTTGAAGAAGCTAGAAAATCATCATTTTACAAACCAAGTGATTGGATTCACACAGCATTATTTAAATATTTGAAATCCAATGAAAAGAAGTTTTCAATGACCAATAAATAAGAAGGAAGTATTTTTGTAACTGCCTTTTTGTTGGTTTCCATGAACCATTATTTTTCAGTAGGACAACCAACTCTCGAAATCTCAGTGCCGATAATTCGCAGATTAACAACATTTTAAAAAAAATTGATCAAAACCATCACGACTCAATCACAAAGATGGTGGTGAATACGGAACAAATTCGACAATTGAAACAACAAATAGAAATGTTGACTGAGGAACAACAACGTATTACTTTTGAAAATCGAGAACTTCAGGTCCAGTGTCAAATGTGTGAAGAAGAAATTACTCATCTCCAAGCCAATCTCAGAGAGCTTGAGAGTAAAAAATCGTTATTGAAAAGAGAACTTTCCGAATTGAGAAAAGTGTAGAGTGGTGGGAATGAATATCCATCCCGATCGGGAATATCTCACACATTTGATGTACATACAATGTGTAATTACCAATACGTAAATGAACATGTCAAACAAATCAGTTTTTTTCAACTTGACGTTTTCTTCGTCGTTCTCCAATTCCATACAATACCAACCCAATAAATAACACCACAATACTCACAATATGATAGGGTGTAATGGATGATTGTTCAGGAATAATAAATTTCATAAATGGTAATGCAAAAACTAGTGTACAAAAAGGAAATGCAAATGCATTAGCAAAGAACGTAATATCAGCATTGATATATTGCACACATAATAATCTCAATTGTAACCAAATATAACTGAAAATATTGAATACGACAATGGTGATCCATCCTTGTCTTTCTCCAAATAAAACATTGTTAAATGCCATATTCATATCATGAATAAATGAATTCAATGATTCGTATTGAGTAATAAAGAAATAATAGAGAGGAAACATGATGAGAGTATTTAAAATCAATTCATAAATTCTTTCGTAGAATCCAAGTGTATAGACATTGAGTGGAACATGACTCTCCATAGGTATATGTGAATTTTCATTGACCATTCTCTTCAAATTTGAATTTTCATTGACCATTCTCTTCAAACTTGAATTTTCATTGACCATTCTCTTCAAACTTGAATTTACAACATTCTTCCTAGTTGATCGATGTTTCTTGATGGCTCTCTTTAAAATATACATTTCATACATTCTTTGTCCAACACTAAAGAAACAGCTCACGACAAAAATACACGCATAGAAGAGTGATGATGATCCTCCCTCTATTGTAGATTCTCTCAATGATACTAAATAAGGTAATATCACGACAATAAATATTCCGAATAAAATACATACAACTCCACACCATTGTAATGTATTATATTTCTCTTTAAATATTAACAATGTACACAGTACTGATAATGGTATATTCATTTGTGCTAATAATACCATTAATGTTCCACTATTCTTTCCCATTCCATTGGATCCAATAATTTGAAATAAAGTTTCAAAAATATTACAAATGGAAATATTTAAATAATGAATAGAATAGAGAGAATGATGGTTGGGAATTGGAGAATTACAAGTTTCAGTAGGTTTAATAGAACTAGTTTCATGAATACTTGAATGAATATTTGAACTCGTTTCATGAATACTTGAATGAATATTTGAATTCGTTTCATGAATACTTGAATGAATATTTGAATTCGTTTCATGAATACTTGAATGAATAGGTCTAGTTTCATGAATATTTGAATCATGAATATTTGAATGAATACTTGAACTTGTGACTACATTGATACTTGAATTCGTTTCATGAATCATCATTAATTTCTTATTTTTCATGGGATAATAAATTTCAGAATAGATATAATGTCCAATAAAAAACAAGACACAAGTAATGATATAATTCAATTCAGAGGCTAGAAAAGGATATTGAAATAATAAATTCAATGATTTTTTAAAATATAACGTAGAAAGTACATCAAACACAATGAAACTAGCAAGTAATAGAAATGATGTGAAATAAAAGAGGAAGGTTTTTTTGTAATCTTGAGATAAACACGAGTGATGTATGAGTTTCAATAATCGAGTCAGTAGTAGTGAGAAGGAAATAGGTGAGTGAGATGAATTCATTTCATTCGAACGATTCACATGTTGGTAATATTGAGTATCATTGTGACCATGGTAGTCTTGATCAATGATCTCAACATGATGATTTAACAATGGAGAGTGTTCCGATGATGGTGGTGGTGGTGGTGTGTGATGGTGGTGGTAGTGGTGGTCATGAGAAGAGAATGGTTGAATTTTTGAATCAAGCATTTTTTTAATTTAAATGTTCACATCACAATAACACATAATAATAACACACACCAATAGTGATGTTGTTGTTGTATTTCTCAATCTCTCTCTCATTCACACCAAATGATCGATCTGAATCAATAAACAAAAGGTATCAAACTGTAAGGAACCATATTACAATAACGAGTCCAATCCTGTGCATATTGTCTCGAATAATACAAGTGTCTATTTCTCTCTGTCGTAATGATATCCAATGTATTCAACATGGCATATAAGAGTGGAATGAAATAATGAAAAGTACTACTACTACTACTAGTATGGTACATGTTCATCATTCCAGTCGAAAGACCACCACCACCACCAACACTACTCGTACGACTCGTATTAAATATACCATAAAGACCACCACTACCATGAATATTCAATAAAAAGAGTGACCATACCATTAATAATTCTCCACTCAAATCAATATTTCGACACAATAACCATCCACTATCAGCAAGAATATAGGATCCATCTCGAGAACTCACCACTCGAGGTGTGAGAGTCTTACTCAATAAAAAGTAAGGAAAGGATGAAATGGTACGATGTGGTAGTAGTACTGTCGTAGATTTCATATCATTTGTTGTAGATCCATGAAAGTAATACTCTTGCTTGAAATACATGTATTGAGTATTGGAAATGCTCCAAATATAGTAACCTATTAAAAAGAGTACAATGGGTAGAATGGGAATGGAATCATTCATAGTAGTAGTAATTGTACCATTAGTAGTACCAGTAGTAGTAGTATTATTCAATAATGAAACTTGATGAATTTGATGAATCAATGGTATGGTATTAAAGAATGGTAATACAACACTCTTATCCAAGACATCCATGAGATCATTTTCACCATCATAGGAACCCATGACACTACTATTCATATAGAGTTGAATCATGTAATTACAAATGAGGAATGTTGCAATCATTTGACATGCTACAGGATATGAAATGTATTCATACAATTCAAATTGTTTAGCAACCACACTCAACGAGAGAATGAACCATAAATTATAACCCATATCAATGGATGGAAGTGAAATTCGAGTGGTGGTGGTTGAGGAAGAGGTGATTGGTGGTGGTGTCATTGTTTCAGCAGTAGTAGTGGGTTGAGTCGAGCTCGTCGAACTTGGACCTATATTCATCATCAAATCCTCAGCACCTGTGGTACTACCACCAATACCACTACCAATACCACCACTATCACTACCAATACCACTATGGATTGGAATTTGCTTCATTCTCTTCTTACTTTGATAAGTAAAACTAGTTTTGGACAAACTTGCTAAAATCAATCCTCCTACCAATGAACAAGTAAAGAGTGCAATGAAATGTTCATACCATTCCACAACTGGTAATAAATTGGTGACATTCAATATAAATACTAAAAAGATATTCATAATGAATGAATAATACATGTGATACGATGGAGAGGACATGGCAAGAATGGATTGTAAACCACTCCATAGTACAAATAATGAATACATCCAAATACAAGTATAATCACTTGGAAGTGCATACATGAAGATTGGTTTCAAGAGTTGATCTTTCAAGAACGAATAAGAATGTGAGAAGGATGAAGGATAAATGAATTGACCATGATGGAACATTGTACATATCCATAAATAGTAGGTGAGGAAGATGGTACCAAAGAATCTCAATGCATGAATGGGTTTGAAAGGTTTCAAGAGATGCTGAACATCTTCGAGGGATGATTCTTGTTGTTGAGACTCAATAAGATCATCACTCGTTTCATCATCCACTCCACCACTAATTTCTTCTCCAATGATACTTGCTGCAGATTCGATGGTCTTTTGAATACCTTCAATGGCAGCACCAAAGCCACTACGATCACGACTCAACGCAATATTGTCTTCGTCGGCTGGATTGAGATTGGCTGCAGTGGTAACGTCCATTTTTTTAAGGCTTTAAGTGTATTCACAACACAACTCTCTGGTGGTGGTGGTGGTTGATGAATTCGCGTTCAACACACTCTCGAGAGAATCGATGGTATGTGACACAGCCACACACGCACACACACACACTCATTCCATTAAGAACGTCAAGTGATATGATGCGTCCTGCCTGCATGAAATCCACCATGATGCATTCTTCGAATCATTATTTCATAAAATCAAATAGACTTTTTTGTGAGAGTTGTTTTTTGGTAGATTTCCTTGTTTGTGTGATTTCTTTTTTCTTGGATGTCTCTTTTTTTCGTTTTTCCTTTGTTGTACTGCTACTACCACTGCTCTTATGAGATTTTTGATTATTTGATACACCACTACATGTATGACTCGTGTTGTTGTTGTTGTTGTTGTTGTTGTTGGTATTATTATCATTACTCGTGTTCGAGTTGATATTACTACTAGTACTATTACTATTACTACTACTGCATATACTATGATTTACACAAGTATGATCTTCCAAACATTCTTTGATACTTCCATAATGATAGAGTGCATTCCAAAATAATTCTTCATGATTTTCATAGAGTTTTTCTGAATTCACTTGTTGAATATTTGATAATAATTCTAATAACTTGTTTTTGGGAATGTAAGAAACAATTCGAAGGGTTGTTGTACTCGTACTAGGATCACCACCATCGACAACTTGTTTGATGGTTAAGGATGGTTTGAATTTGTTTCTTATTGAGTTGCAATGAATACATGTCATGTAACCTGAATGTTCATTGATATTCGATTCAATATGTTGTTTTTCTAACCATTGATGACAGTGTTTACATTCTTCACCTAATAAGAAACAGAGTCCATCTGCTGATGTGAAATATAAATCATAGAGTGGTGTTGTATGAGTGGTTGTTGATATTTTTGGAGTGGTTGTTCTTGTGGTTGATGGAATAGTTATATTGGTTGTGTTCGTCTGATGAGATTCTAATATTGGAGTGTCAGTAATGGATGTGCACAACATGTTGGAACTAGGATGACCATTCTGATCATTCTGGATTGCAATAGTGCACTTCTTTCTTTTAAGCTTTAAAGTTGCGGATGAAGGGATTGTTTTTCTCTTCTTATTGGTAGGTGAGTTGGGTTCTGAGTGAGTATTGACCTTTTCATTATTAGTAGTAGTAGTAGTAATGAGAGTGGAATCTTTAGGGATAAGATGGATTGGCTCATGGATTTCTTGAGCTGTACATTTTGGTGCAACAACCTGAATACTACTACTACTATTATTATTACTATTGCTACTACTAGTACTACCACCACTACTCATCGTCTCATTGACACACTTCTCTTCTTCTTCTATTGTGGATGCAGTTGATTCTAACGCAACAATCTTATCAGGTGATGATTTTAACCAACTTTCAAATTTGTTTTTTGATCTCTCAAATGCTTTTCGATCTGCATTATTTCTAATTTTCACAACTTGTTTGGGTGCTGCAGTATGAGTAGAGGAGGCAGATGTTGTGGATGCATGAGGTGATGATTTCTTCTTTTTTGTTGTTGTTGCTTTAGAAGGTTTGAGTAACAACACATTTAAGGGATTCATGATGGATGGTGAATGCTTCTCCGTGGTACTTCCACAGTAAGAATTGGACTGTTGTTCTTTCACTTGACATACTTGTTGTTCATGGATATCATCCAATAATAAATCATCTCCTAATAGAGAAGTATTCAAAGGATCATTATTCATACAAGTACTATTCATAGCACTAGAGCTTGAAGAATGGGTTGATAAAGTGGTATTGTATCGAGACGATGGAGTTTGGAATGTGTCGTCATGAGAATTATTCATGTCATGGGTGGAAGAGTTTGTTTTTTTGGAATTTGCATTGACAATCATTGTTTCTAGTGAAAAGAGTGGTGAAGCAGATAAACGATCCGTCGTCTTATTGTCACTGCCACTACTACTATTACTACTGGATGGTATCATTAATGAAGCTGGTATTTGTGAGAATTGAATTTGTTCAAGATATTTTGATGGACTATCAGAAAAGAATTCATTTTCTTCATTCTTCGTGTCGATGGAGGATGATTGATTTTTCAGAACCACTTGCTTTTTTCTATTGTTGTCATGCAGATTTGCATGTTTTGATGATATAAAGGATCGTTTCATATCAAATTGTTGAGTGAGTTGAAGATCGAATGGAGTCATTAATTTACTCCATTTGTTTTGAGTGAGATTGGTATTGTAAATGTTATTATTCGTCAATGTTTGTAAATGATCTTGTTCCGATAATAATATCGGAGGTGAAAGATTATTGGTTCGAGCCTTGGTAGTTGATGATGTTTTCGTTGATGAATCATTTAATGCTTTTGTATCATTGGAATAATAATTTCTATTAGCGATTCCTAAAATTGGAGAGGGTGGATCCTGATGTTTTGTTGAATCATATTGACGACTCGTGATTAATTCTTCTACATCATCACTACTCTTCTCTTCTGGATCAAAGGATTGAATCTCATCATCATCACTACTATTATCCTCTCCGATGAGTATTGTTGGACTAGGAGCACAACCATTGTTGTTGTTGCGTAAAGTGTGTAGCCTCAGTTCGGGACTACTCGGTGTTTGCATTGTTTTTTATGAAAGCCTTTTTTCCAATTTTTGTTCTTGCGATTGATGGAAACAACAATGGAACTTCAATGTTGAATGGCCATTTTCAATATTCAAAAAACATGACTCAGATGTATTTAATACATTGCGCGTGTATCAATATTCTCGTTTTGTCTATTGTTGACCACCCTTATATAAATTCAAATAATATCGTGAGGTAATTAATCTCATCACTTCATTGGTTCCTTCCAAAATGCAATGCACACGTAAATCTCTTAAATATCTCTCAACACCATATTCATTCAAATATCCATATCCTCCAAACATTTGAAGAGAATCATTGACCACATCAAAACATTCATCGGTAGCAAATCTTTTAGCCATTGCACAAAATGTAGTTGAATGTGATGATTTCTCCATATCTAATTGAGCAGCTGCTGTTCTCACCATTAATCGAGAAGCATGAACTCGAGTAGCCATATCTGCTAATTTGAATTGTAAATGTTGGAAATTAGAAAGTGGCTTTCCAAACTGTTTTCTAGTGTGTAAATATTCACCTGCCATGTTCATGCATTGTTGAGCACCACCAACACTACATGTTGCAATATTAATTCTACCACCATCAAGACCTTGCATGGCAATTTTGAAACCTTGTCCAATTTCACCTAAAATATTTTCTTTTTTCACTTTGACATTGTCCATAATGACAGCACGAGTGGGTTGTGTATTCCTTTTTTAATCATCATTCAAATAATATTCCATAACAATATATCCGTACATTTCAGCCACAAGAGTATGATTTTTAAATGAACAATATATAGTTTTCAATTTCCATTCCCAACATTAGCAATAGGAAAATAGTTTTCAAATTCCACCAATATCAACAACATTAAACATGTAAATCCATCAATATCAATATGAACAAGTCCAAATGTACATACCATCCTAATTTCACTTCATTCTTACCAAATGATAATCCAGGTGTGTTCTTTTCAATAATGAAACAAGTAATGGCATCAGCACTCGATTCTTCCTTCTTTGAGCTTGAAGTGCCGTTGCTCACCTTGGCCATGACCAAATAAACATCACTACTTCCACCACCACTGATAAAAGCCTTCTCTCCATTCAACACATAACTCTCTCCATCCTCACTCAATACTGCTCTTGTTCTCAATGAGGCAGCATCACTTCCACTATTAGGTTCAGTTAAACAATACGATGCAAACTTTTCCATACTACATAACGCAGGTAAATAACGTTCCTTTTGTTGTGGAGTACCATATTGGTCAATCATCCAACAACACATATTATGAATGGTGAGATAGGCTGTGGTAGAGACATCACCCTTTGCTAATTGTTCGAAAATGATACTTGCATCCAATCGAGAAAGACCTGTACCACCATAATCGGTTGAGACATAAATACCACCAAAGCCTAATTGTGCGGCTTCTCTCAAGGTCTCCATTGGAAATGTTTTATTACGATCCCATTCCGAGACAATATGTTCTTGAAAATGTTTGTTGGTAAAGTCTTTGGCAAGTTGTTGGTATTCCAATTGTTCGGGAGTGAGATTGAATTGTTCAGAATGAGTAATGAGTTCTTGATTGGCGGATGAAAGAAAGCGTTGTTGGAATGGAATAATGACAGCCTTCTTCAACAATTGAAGTGCTGATGGTTGCTTGTTGATGGCTGAGGAAAGATGAATGAAGGATTGTTTCAACATTTTTTTCAAGGGCAAAGTTGGCTTGTTGTTGTTGAGACCGTGTTTACAATGCTGCGGACAGTAGTGTGTGAGGGGAACAAGACTCTTTGAGAATTCTCGTTATTAAATGTCCAAGTTCAGCTCGTGTTTTTATTCTTGTTCTTCGTCCACAACATAATCATCTTCCTCATCTTCTTCATTCAAGAATAATTCCTCATCAATTTCATCTTCATCCACATATTGCTGTGCAGCTTCTTCACCAATTTTACTAATCAATAATTGTTGACGCTCTTCAAAGATTTGCCTTCCAGTCTTGGCTCCAGGAAATCGTTTTGCTTTTTCTGCTCTTTCTTTTTCCATAACTTTTTGTTGTTCCTGAACAAACTTATCACGCCATTCTTTAAAATTTTCGGGAGTGACTGGTGTTCCTCGTCCAATATTCGAAACTAAAACTTCAGAGTCCATTGTAAATCTATCCAAAGATGAGTCATTGGCTGATGATGAGGAAGTACCCGAGGCTGATGATGTTGCTGTAGTCGACTCGGATGATGATTGTTCTTGTTGATACTTGATGAGAAATTCCTGAATGGTACTAGCAAGAGTAAAAACACAAGAGGTACCCATAAATTGATTAGCAGTATCTACCAGTAATTCTTTCAATTCATTCATTGTACGATTGGTAATATTTCCTCTTGTATTATAAATATCAAAATGAGGTATTGATGAGCTCGGATAATCATCATGATACGTTACTTCCAAAGTAATTCCAACATCATTGACTTCAGTTTCGGATTCAACAGTATATGGGAATATTTCAATTTTAAAATGAGTATCGGAAAGAAGTGTAAGTTCAGTAGGATAGATGGATTGAAGAGCCTCAATTTCCAATTGTTGTTCTTGTTGGTTGGATGACATTTTTTTTGTGATGTAGTTGCCAAGTGTGGCTCAGTAGTCAAACCTCGACTACGGCAACCTCTGGTCGAGGGTTCAGTTCCGGTCCCCTACCGAATTGTTGAAGGTGGCTTCTGTTCGTAACGAAGTTTCTACGCTCTGATCCTGGAGTGCCTGCTAAGGAGACTGCTCAGCCCTGTTCCGTGCCACTGGCGCAAAGTCTAATAAATATCAAATTTTTTTTGTGATGTTTCAATCCACAATAGACCGTGATGCAATTCGGCACCTACCTTGTATTGACAAGAATTGGCCAGAAATCCAAGCCTTTTTGTTGGCAAATTCCACTACTTTTTCGTCTAGTTAGAATCTCAATGGGATTCTTTGTACATATTTCTTAAATAAATTTTTTTTGGGATGTTTGCTTCCAACAAAAACCATTTTAAAAATATTCTCAAATCTCTCAACCAGTTGGTGTTGTTGTTGCAAAACGTTTGAATTTTGATCACATTCACATCATCATGATCAGCAAAATTAAAAACTTCTTTTCTTCTCCGAGTCGAACCAATGAATCGGATCAACAATCCGACATGGATCGTGTAGGTTCTGCTGCTTCTTCCAAGAGTGGTTCTAAAAATAAGAATAACAATGATCGCATGTATCGTCCTATTCATGCAACGAAACATCAACAACAACAACAACCCTATCATATTTATTTACCTTCTTCCATCCTCTCTACCACAACAACAACAAGTCGTGAATTTCATGTCATGAAAACCAATACATATTATGGACATTCTTCTTCGCAACTCAACACCGACCCTGAAGGCTTTATCAAACGATCATGTTTTCATTCTGTAAAACTTCCACAAGATTTCAGAAACATTGCACAAATATTATGTGTCTCTCATAGAATTTATGTTCTCGAAGCAGGTAGTGGTCGAGTCCATGTCTATGATATTGATAATAATTCATCAAGTTTTGTTACTCCTGTTGGATATATGATGAAATTTGATGGAGAACGATTAAAAGTAGTTGCCATTCGAGGTGATACTTATGGAATGCTCTATTTGGTCTATGATTCAACATTGAATCGATGTGTCTTGTATGGTGGAGATCAAAATCATTATGACAATGTTGGAGTGGATGTTCCAAAACATTCCAAGAATTTAGATTGTGCACTAGCTTTTGATCCATATTGGGATCAGAGTGGAGGTATTGTGAATCGAGAGATTACTCATGTCGAATGTGCCTATTCATTGAGTTTTTGTGTGACCAATCATTGTGAAATTAGAATTAGTGGTCAAGTGATTTGGTGTCGGTAAGTGAGTGGTGTGTGTTTTCATATATATTCACTCGGGACACAATGAATGGCTCTGATCTCTCTCTTTGAACTCTAATTGAACTTTAAAATTTCTCGATTGGGCTCTATGTGTACATGTATGTGCACATATACACACATTTTTAAACCAACATATGTTACTACTACATGTTACTACTACTACATGGCATGAATGATTTGATACATTGATAAACACAACTACATGCCATTTTGATACATTGGCATGAATGATTTGACACATTGATAAACATTTCATTATGGTAAATACACAAACATTTCATTATGGTAAACACAAATATTTCATTATGGTAAACACAAATATTTCATTATGGTAAATACAAATATTTCATTATGGTAAATACACAAATACAGACCTGGTAACACATCTACTACTTGGAAAGAAATTGTATTTACAACACGAAGACCAATTATTGATTTACAAACTCATAGTTTTGGTTTTGTTGCTCTTCTCGATGATTCGACTATTTGTGTGGGTGGAAGTAATAATCACTATGAAAACATGCATTCTGCTACAGGAAGTTATATTGATATTCAGTATATTGACAATTTGAATTATGTTCCAAAACAAATTTATTGTACAAGTTATACAACGATCGTTAGAACGAGTGAAGATAAATTTATTGAATATGGAAGAGGGTTTGCAAATCGATCCACACAAACACCACCAAATGGAACACCGTTTGTCATTGATAGTACTGCTGCACCAAATTATTCGAAACAATTTGAATCAAATTATGTATTGGATGAAATTTATTTGAAAGGTTCAATGATCGCATCATCGTATGAGAAACCAGATTTATATTTTTTATATTCTGAAGGAGGAGTGAATGGTTTTGTGAAATTGAGTGATTATTTTGATCATTCACTTGTTATGAATCATCGAGTGAGAGGTGCTTGCAATACGTCATGTTTTGTTCTCTATGTGACCTATCCTGATACGAGTGCTACATTCACACACATGCACAAGAAATTATTTGAAATTTTATGGAGAGAAGATGCTCCATTGAGCGATGTTCACATTGTTGTGTCTGATCATCATTATGCTCGGAGTGAGAGTACGTACTCTAGGGAGGAGGAGTCGAATGACTGTGATGAATGATCACAAGGTTGCATCGTAGCACGTGGTGGTAGTGGTGGCGATGGTGGTGTTATCGTAGCACGTGGTGTTGTCTTCAATGCATTGAAGAGTAGATTGATTGTTAAAATGTCTTGTTGAAAAGACGAATAAATTCTTCAATTTTGTAGAAAGTAGCAGCAGCAAATTTATGTGTGATTACAACTATTGGCTCAGTGATTCATCCGTTTGCAATTTAGAAAAATCCAAGTCATGCGAAGTATCCATCTTATCTTCAGTCGTGAAGCTTGAGGAAGGAGTTGCAGTTGTACTACTAGTCGTATTGCTGTGGTGTGTTTGTTGCAACAACTGCTTACTCTGAGAAGCGGTTTGCATGTGATGAATATTTGCAAGGCTATGTATCACACTGTTCATCACATTGTTTGCACTGTTCATGACTTGATTCATTGAAGTAGTATGAGCAGTATTATTATTATTACTCATCACATGCTGAATACTTGAATTGGATGATACTAAACTTTTGAAATAATACAAATCGACTGATTTCACAGCAATAAATTCAACATATTCCAATCTCATCATTTTCAATAACAATACACAATTATATCCATATCTAATGGGTAACAAAATACACCCAGCATTATGACTTGCACAATCAATGCACCATCTCAAATCATATTTCACTGAATGATCGTCATGCAAATGAATATCCATATTTGGTATTTCAACATTTAATTGAATGGAACCAGTAATAGGAATGTAGAGTAATGGTTTATCATCAATGTATTCACTTTCAATTCTAAAACAGTCACTCCAATTCTTTGTTTGTGACTCGTTGTCATAAACACATGAATTTGAAAAGTATTTGATTCGATTGGCATGTCTTGTAATTTCCATTTCTAATTGTTTGGAATTTCCAATTCGAATGTGAAAATAAGAATTTTGATTGTTGGGCACGGTATTGCAACATTCAGATAATAATTTCATGGAATGAGCATCTACAAGAAATTTCAAAGTATTCTTTGGAATGTTTGTAGAGGCAGAGGATGGAATTTGAGTGATACAATGATTATTGGTATCATTCAACATGATGTTGGATGATGATTGATTCATCAGAGTATTATTATTATTATTAGTAGTAGTAGTAGTAGTAATGGTGTTACTAGTAGTATTATTAATATTATTATTAATATTATTATTCATATTCATATTGGAAGAAGAAGAAGGTTGAATGTTTGTAAGATCTGCCACGACTCGATTCTTGGACAATGTTTGAAGACCATAATTATTCGTTTCATCAAGTACTTGAGAACTTGTTGTTGTTGTTGTTGTTATGGGTGTCACCATGGTATGGTTCATCATGATTGTTGGCGCTATAAGAGTGGTCGGACTTGTGGATGTGGAAAATGTCGTGGAGTGAGTGGTGTTGCTAGTGGTGGTTAATTTGTGATGAAACGATTCTTCTTCATTATTCGTCACTAGTGCACCACCACCACCACTGCTCGTACTAGCAATCGTAGAATGAACATTTACAGCAGAGTTATGAGCAGAAGGTTGAGTTGGTTTTTGTACTTGTTTGATACTAATTTTTGAATGTTGTTTGTTGAGAATGTGATCTGGTGGTAAATTTGAATACTTGTTGTTGTTCATGTTGTTGTGAGGATGGTTCGGAGTACTAGTTAGAGGAAATGATGAGGCTATTGTTGAAGGATGATTTGTGGAGGGAACCATGGGTGGTTGAGAATGAGTATTAAAATTATTGTTGTTGTTGCTTTCCATTTTGTTTTGTGGTGTGTTTGTGGCTTGCATTTTTTTCAAGAATTCTTTTTGGCAGTTGACATTTTTGTGAATTAGGCAAGATGAGAGTATGGAAAATAGTGCTGGTGATATAAATTATGATCGAGTGAGTTTTAAAATTTCAAAAATACTAGTGTTTAATTCATGTCACACACTATTTGATAAAATTCCTATCGTACAATGCACTAAATCTATAGGCTCTATTTTCAGTATAAAAAAGTCTCAAATAGTCTTGTGGAGTGAGAAGATCCTTCTTGGTGATTAATCGATTTTGATATTCTTCATTGAGTTTTCTTTTTTGAAGAATGGAATATGAATTTTGATGAGAAATATTCTGTTGAATGAGTTCATCAAGTGATTTAGAAGTGTGGTTAGAATGGTTGAGGTCTAGATCCTTATTCACAATATAATTTTGAGTCAAATGTCGAAATTCTTCATCTCTTGTACTTGCTATTTTCAAATCATACATTAAATCATTGGAGACCTTATTATTTCTAATTAACTCTGAGATGGTATCATATTTGATTGAATGTAGTTGCAAATATAAAAACCATAAATGTTCCATATCTATTTGCTTTCCATTCCGAAGTGTGAATATATGTGAGTCTAATGGGTGTATTAAATCTTCTTCTGGAGTATTGGGAGGATTTGAATCTAATTTCATTTCTTGCCAATAATCATGCCATTCTTTTGAAAAATTAAAAGCATTTTCATTTAATAAATCAAATTCAGATTCAAAAGGATAGGGAGTGTCAAATTTCACTAAAAACGCAGTCTCTTTTTTATGATACAATCTACTTCTAAATACGTTTGTTAGATCAATAGCTGGAATTCCAGTCCAATAACTGATGGTTTCATCTGCTGATGACTCTTTAAGATCAAAATATGCGAACACCACAACAGACAAAATTCCTGCAGAGGCAACAGAGCGAAATGGTTCAGGAATTTTATAAAGGAATCTTGTTATAATACTCACTCGGGATGAACAAGTTGATGTAAAGGATAGAAGAGCCTCTTTTGAAATGGAATTGGAAAAGGTACTAGGTGTGAGGCTTGAAAGGAAGGAATAATAAGACTTGAAGGATGATAATTTGAAGAGAGGAGAGAACCATGATGAAGTTGTTCTATGATTGGTTGTTGTTGCTGTTTTATTGTAATTGATAGGGTTGGATTTTAAAATCGGAGATGATGATTTCGGAGAGCATGTTCGTTCGTTGGGTTCGTTGGGGTCTGCTGGTTTTTGCATTTTTTAAATGTATTTTAATCTGTGCGGAGAGACTTTTCAATGAATCGAGATGTGTTTTTCATAAAATTTTATAATTCTCGTCCTTGTCATGGTGCTCCTCAACAATCACTTGCGAGATGGTTTCTTCTTTCTTGAATTTCTATCAAGTTGCTGTATCGTTGTTGTTCTTTGTTCCATCACGGACAAGTAAACTTGATGCATATCATCAGAGATGTTCAAATGGTTCTGTATCCATTCCCATACTTGTTTGATGTGATAAGGTTTGTGAAAATTTTTGGAAATACATGCACCCAATTCCAGTAACAATTGCACCATTTGTTTCAAATATTCTCTATCAGAGAGCTCACAAATTGTTAATTCTTGAATTCTCTCAACAATGTTTTTCATATCCAAATACTTGTCAAAGAGTATGTCTAACTCTTCCAGCGACAATAGAGGAGATAGATGTTGTAGAAATTGTCTATTCTTGGTTGATTTACATCCACTCTTTAACACTTGTTCAAAATCTTCATCTGTATAATATTTATGTATTTGAAGGAATGTATTGAATGGAACAATGAGAAAATCATCATTTTCAATTTCAATATTGAAAAATGAACAACGACGTGTACTTGTAGTGATACTCGTTCCTTTGGGATGAGACTTGTTCGATGCAGTCAAAACGATATCATTCAATTCCATTAACATTTTTTCTAAAAATTTTGAATGATAAATTTTGATTAAATCTCCACTCCAGTGATTTCCATGACGTTGTGGTCGTTGAGTAGATGAATAGTTCAATAAATATTCCATATTTGGATACTTTTGATAGATGGAAATAAGAGATTGAATATCATCATTACTATACCATGTAAATGCATTATCCAAAGTTAAATTTAAAAATTGACTTTGATAATCATATTCTTTCCATTGTGTATACATGGTGGATATAGAATAGTAATCTTTGTGTTTCTTCTTTTGTTGTAAAATTGCTTTCAATTCCTTATTTTTCATTCTACTTAGAATATTACTATTATAGTAATCAATATCAATGGATGAATTTCGTTTCATATGAGAGGATACTTTAGTAGCCATTGTGAGCTTTTCGTGAGCAAATTGTAACACTTTTTCTTCAATAGAATTTCTTATTAAAAACTTGTAAACATAGACTGTTTTTGTTTGACCAATTCGATGACATCGATTTGTAGCTTGATCATCATTGTGTGGATTCCACATCATATCAAATTCAATTACAACATTAGCAGAGACTAAATTCTATGGAATGATTCATGCATGTATCAACAAGAATCTAGATCAAATAGAGTAAACTTACCAATCCCAAACCACCTGCTTTTGTGCTCAATAGAAATACAAAATCTTGAGAATTTTCGTGTTGAAAACTTTCAATAGAAAGTTCACGTTCTTCCATCGATTTGCTACCATCTAATCGTTGATATCGATAATTCTTACAAATGAGATAGTATTCAATCATATCCAATGTGGTTGTATATTGACTAAATATAACAACCTTATTTTGTTCACTAAAATGTTTTTCAAGTAAATAATCCAACACAATAAATTTGCTACTTGTTTGAATGACTTTCTTTAACATGTATTCACGAGTGAGAGTCGAGAGAAATTTGGAAAAATATTGAGAATTAAAGATGGGATCTGTTTCAGAAGCGTAAGCAGGTGTCTGGCTTGTGGATGATTTGGTTGAGAGGTCATTACTAAATACGTGTGAGCTCTTATCTAATAAATAAATAAATGGATGATTGGCAATTTTCATACAGTCAATCACATTTTGAAGAGAATTCTCTGCGTCATCTTCTTCTTCCATTTGTTCTCTAACAAATCTGAAACAATCTTCTTGAAGAGGAGTGGGCTCTAATAATAGAATATATTCTTCTTTAGGTTTGATGACATTGCTTAAAACTTCTTCTTTGTTTCTACGAAGCATAATTTGTTTAATTCTTGATCCAAATTCCTTGATATTCGTTTCATATAATTTTTTAAAATCTTTGAGAGAGTCATTGAAAGGTTTTGTTTGATTTAAAAATTTCAAAAGAGAATAAAATTGTGATAAATTATTTTGAAGTGGTGTTCCAGTTAACAACAGAATGGCCTCAGATTTGAGTTGTTTCATCTTTTTGTAAACCTTACTATTTTGATTAGATAGAAAGTGAGCTTCATCAATCACTATATATTTCCAATAGATTGTGTCAAATACATGTTGACGAGAAAGTGATTCCTTTGTTGTAATGACAACATTAGGTAATAGATATCTATTTTGAATAGATTCATCTACAAACACAGCATATTTTTGAAGAGCTCTCTTTTTTTCAATACTTCCATAATATGCTAGAACATTAATGGGTTCAACTTGCCACTTTTTGAATTCATTGACCCAATTACCTAGAATAGATTTTGGTACAACAATGAGAAAAGGTCCTTTGATTTTTTCAAACTTGATTAAATAATTAATGGTTGAAATGACTTGAACAGTTTTACCAATACCCTGTTATTGAGATGATCGTGCGAATGGAAAGTAATGGTAGTAGTAGTAGTATTGCGGATAACAAAAGGTCAAACAGAATATTCAGAAAAGAGCACGTATGATACATACCATATCATCTGCAAGAATGACATTCTTCCTTTCTAAATAGTTTTTCAATAACCACAAAACCCCTTCTGTTTGGTATTTATGAAGCGAAAGTCCACTATTGTTACTATACATGGTGAATAAAAATATGGACATGTCTGTTTCATCAAAAGTATTGGGACTAGTTGGTGATTCACTTGATGACGAAGACATTAAATATTTGTTTGCAATTTTATGATTATACTCTTCAATTAATGGTTCAGTAATTCCAAATTGCAATTTGTTTTCATCATCGTTAGGAATGGAAATGACTTTGTTAGCCTTGTTGAGTAATGTAATAGTTCTGGAAGTTACTTTGAGAATGACATCCAATTGATGAGCCTTTGAGTTGAGATGGGTTTCATCATCATCCGATAATTCATCATCATTTTCTTCATCGGAGGTTTGGATGGTTTCTTCTTCATCGGATTTCACTCTTTTTGATGATTTTAAATCACTGCTGTCGGAAGTGTTGTTGGGGGTATGAGAGCGTTTGTTTTGAGTCATTTTTTTTTGGCGCAACAACAATAACTCGCATCGAGTAACCACTCGAACCAGGTTGTCATTGCTAAAATTTATTCAGTCCTATATCGATGTTCAGGAGGTGAAACACAGGTCACAGACTGGTTGGTTCATTGGTCGGTTGCATCAAAAGATTTTTAATTTACTAATTACGACCTCGAGAGTATCAGCAAGGCCATTACTTTCATTGTTGTTTCTAAAACAATTTCTAATTAAAAGTACTATATCTATGAGCTGCTGGTGGTATTGAAGAGTTCACTGAATTGTAATTATGATGTTCTTCAACAATTCTAGATTTTCTTCTTCTCATCCATTCACATCCTCGATCGAATAAAGCTCCAATAATTGCAATCACAAATAATCCAAGTAAAATACTTCCACCAATAGTGACAATGATATAACATGGCAATCCAAACATGGAGCAAGTATAGTCAGGTGTAATTTTTCCACACGATTGTTCACAATAAGCACAAGGACAAATTAAAGAGCATTGAAACAGAGTGCCATTGTAGTAAGATAATTGATCACTCACTGGTTTTTGTTCTTGTACGTTCAATCTTTGTAACAAGTTTCTCACTCTCTTTCTATCTTGTGTTGCTGATCGAATTTCCTTCTTGTAATCATTTTCTGTTAAATCATCATAAATATCTTCGACATCTTTTGGTACTCGGAGTGGTTTCAATCTTTTGGTAATTGTAATTCTTTCATGGAGAATGCCACTTGTCGTATCAAACGCATCGAGTTTTTGAAAAACATAGGTAATGTTTGGATTTGGTGTTGATTTTTGAATAAGACCTTGAAGAAATGCTTGAACGTTAGGATATTGTTCTTTGACTGGTTGTGCTGCCATCTTGTCATCTTTGCAATTCGCCCATAAATCATTTTGGAAATCAGTAGACAGATAAAAATCTACTTGTGCAATATAGTCTTTGTATTTAGGAATTGGATTCATGGCAGAAATAGCAACAAATGTATCTTGTTGATTATTGCATGTAAAGTCACACCACATTTTCTTCATATTCAAGACACATGCTGGACATCTCCAAAATCTTTTATCATGAATTCCAATCATTTGACGTAATGACCATTGTTCATTTGACCATTGTCAAGAATGTATCACAATCCAAAATCATTTTCATATGAGAAAAAAAATGTCAACCTACACCATATCAAGCAACACAAAATTGTCCTTCATCTTGTCTACTTGTGTGGTATTGCAACACACTGTTTGAGAAGCTAAATGTGGACACATTGCTGATAAAACATTTTCATAATCGCTTGGTAAATGAAAAGGTGTTTTCCAAGGAACGGTTGGATAATCAGTTCCGTTTTGGAACCCGTTAGAAGTCATGACACATCCTCCGAGAGTCAATTGTACCATCATCATTGTCAATACTATTAATGTGAGAGAATAAATTAAAAAGATTTTCATCGGAGATGGAGCGGTGTTGTTGGTGTGTCGGTGTTGAGATTGATGAATGAGAAGAGGCATTTTTTTTAAGGCTTTTCCTTGAGGTGCGTGTTTGCATGCAAGAGGGTCAGACTTGGAGTACTCTCACACGTCCCAACAAATATGATGCTTCAAAGGAACACAAGTGTGCAATGAAAGGCATGTCAGCATACCATTGGTATCTGTATGTTGTATTTATACAACTCAATATTTTGTTTATTTACAATTTAAAACGGTGCTTCGTTCATGAATTAGTTCAAAAAATTGTCAAATAAATCGAATAATGGTTTGTTGTTACCTTTGTTTGCAATTTGTTGTTTGAGATTGAGAATTTTGTTTCTGAGCATTAAATTTTCGTTTTGGACTTGTTGCGAATGATTTCTTTCTTCGTCTAACAACATGGTTAACGTTTGAATTTCTTCTGATTGTCGTCTTGTGAGACTTTCTAATGTTTTCAATCGTTGTTCCAGTTCTTCATTGTTCTTGACCAAGGAAGGTACATTGAGTGTTAATAATGTTTGATTCGATGAAGTCTGATTCAATACTTGCTTGTTGTTGTCCATAGTTGTGGGAAGAGAGACAGGAGTGGATGTTGTCTGAGCCTTGGTATCACTTGTTGTTTCAGCTTGATTCGATTTCAATTGTACAATGGTTGCTTCATACATGGCATACGATGCCATCTTGTAAGAATCTCCACTAAAAACATGGTTGTATGTTTCAACTGAACTCGTTGAAAATAATTCTTTCAAATGATTGTCAACATCATGAATGTCTTTGAACAAGTAAAAACCACCTCCTCCTCCTTTTTCAAATCTTCTAGGATGTGAATCGAATATATACCAAGAATAGAATTTTTCATTACTGCACTGTCCATCGTGTAAGATGGCAATGGTTTCAGGAGGTTTGGTCAATACGACAGCTGTAATGTGCTTATCGTTTTGTAGTGAGTGTACTTCAATTTCCTTCAATAATTGCATGAAAATATTATTGTCTCTTAATTTACCAATGAACATGGATTTGAGTTCGAGATTCTTCTTGTAATGATCCACACTATTGTATACTTCGTCACATGAAGTGTATCCCACTCGTCGATCATTACAAACACCAACTGTCATGATATGTTCGATATCAGAAATTATTTGCTTTTTAAGTTCATCAACATAGGCATCTAAACTGTTGTCGAGATGTAGACCACTCTTGGTCATAAATTGTTCATCAATCACACAACAATAGTGTCTCATTCTCTTGTAGTTTCGGAGGAAATGTTCAACGGCTGCAAGACAAATATAGGTACATGATGCTTCACCACCTTTATAACTGAATTGTGATTTTGGAGAGAGAATGGACTTGTCATAGTATCTACCGGCAATCCGTGGTGATTGGTTATTATTGGGAGAGGTAAAATTGGAGAATGGATTGAACATGGTTATATTATTGTTGGTATTGGGAATCAATGATGTTGATCAAATACTGTCCGTGAAGAAGGCTTTAATTTGTGGTGGTTTCGACTGATTCACGCAAGCGTCGGAAACGAATATAACAGCAGCCTTCAATTAATTTTTTTGTTCGGAACTCAAATGGAAACTGGATTTATTTTGGTCTGAGCATTGAATGGTCAGATTTTGCAACAACAATGTAGTCATTTTAGAATTGGCGCAGATGGCCAAACGAATTTGCAATCAATTCCAAAGCTTGTTTTGTTTTACCCTCCACGATCAATACATAGAGTTGTATCAAATAAAAATAAGGTTTCACTTCAGAGTGCAACGTTTGAGGGTCACTCGTGATATGATTCAGCGTTTGTTGAGCTTTTTCATAATTTCCTTGAATCACATGTATGACTGCTAAATTCAATAAGAGACCAAATTGTAACGTGGAATTATCTTGCTGTTGTTGCAAATATGACAATAGTGTTTGCAATTGTTGAGGTGAAATCAATTGAAAAATCTTTTCAGATTGATCGGTCGTCGTCAATGCTTCAAATGCATAACATAAAGCAATAATAGTATATTGAATGGGACATATTCCTATGGATATAGAAGTATTATTGGAATACGCCAAGGAAAGGGATAAGATGGTTTTGCAATGGGAGAGTGATAACAGTGGATTGTCTAATGCGAGTGAAACATAGGCCAATTTCAGGGTAACATTCATTAGAGCTTGTTGTAATCGCACAAAGAATGAAACTTGGTAATGATCCTCATTAGTAACGTTCTCTCCCATTTGATATCGTTTTTTAAATTCATTAATCATCGTTTGTAAAATACTGAGGGCATTGTGAAAACATTTTTCTGCCATTTCCAATGACATTTCTTCAAGGACTTTCGGAGTGAATCTGTCATTCAGTAATTCTAAATGATATTTGTTTTGCTTCATCATTGGATCTTCGTGTCTAAGTAGATCAGTAGGTAAACAATGTTTAACACACCACATAAGTAGGTAAACAATGTTTGACACACCACATAATCACTACTTACGTTTGAACAAATTCTTTTTGGGTTGAAAACTTCTTCACTCCTAACTGATTTCCCAGAACAGGCAATGAAACAGTTGGACTATTAGATAGACTATTTGTCATTTGTTGAAACGTTTCATGAATATCTTTCTTGAGTAGTCTTTGATTTTCACACAAAATACATTCACCCATTCGAATCCAAATATATGGATTGTCATACATTGATAGAGATGCTTTGTGGAAGAGTTCATAGGGCTCAAGGAATGGATTGTTTTGCGAGAGACATCTAGCAACTTGTTCAATGTTTTTAGATTCTCTCAAAAGTAATTGAAAGGCGAGATTGTATTGAGCTTGAGCGTTTCCACTTTGTGAGGCCTTTGAAAAATAAAATTGAGACATTATTGATGGCTCCTTGTTGTCCATATGCAGAAACAAACAACCAAGGTTATTAAAATAAACCACTGGTGAAAGTCTCCCTCTGTGTTGTCCCAAAATTTCAATACATTCTTTCATCATTTGTGAGAAAGTTTCTTCATTGTTTGATTTCTTGGTAATTTTTAAAAAACAATCCAATAGGCATAATTTAGTTGCCATCAAATCGTTAATATATTTGTTTTCGTTGTCCTTTGCAATAGCATTTTTAATAATCTGATTGGCAGAGTTTATATATTCAAGTGTTGTACTCCAACTCTCCTTTCTTAGAACAGATATTTTAGACTTGTAGTAGAAAATGTTGAATTTAGATTCTGTGATTGAAAGCTCTGTAATGTTCAATTGAGGGAGAGATGGAATAGAGCTTTGAATGATGGACTGAAAGTTATTATCAATATATTTGATAACAATCAGTGTCTTTTCAACGCACTTCATGACATCAATATAAATGTCTAATAATAAAAAGCATATTTTCAAAACTAAAAATTCATCATATTTCAATAACTGAGTTGTGTGTTGATCGTTCAGATCTAAACTCTCAAATAACGGTTCTAATAACTCTAACACTTTTTTATACTTTTCTTTTTTGTAGTATAACACGGCTTGATTATAAATTAAAATAGGAAATTGATGATTGGAATGTTTTTTTGTAGATTGTTTGATTTCTTCCAATTCTAAGAGTAATTTTTCTTCGGAAAATTCATTGTATAAATTACTACTATTGATCTCGCATAAATATTTGGTGATGGCCATATTATGTTTAATTTTGAATATTTCCGTTGTGTTGGTTGTATTTTTCAATAATTTGTTTAAATTTTCAATACACGATTCATATTCTTTCTTGTTGAAGTGGTACATAGCCAGTTGGTAAAAATCCATGGAAATGGATTGTTGTGTTGCATTGGAAAGAGATGAATGAGGAGACTGAAGAATTTTCGGAGGTGAAGCCGATGAGAAGGATGAAGCTGGGATCATTTTTGATGACGCGATAAAAAAAAATGCTTTCAGGCTCTTCATCCTCTTCGCCCTTTGTGCCCACAAGCTTGACACCATCGGGATCATCATCACAGGCTCCCTCTTCAGTAGATTCCTCTTCAGCTCAATCAAATACTACATCAAATGATTGGGATAAGATTAAAGAAGTTATTGCCAAATTGGATAGAGAACTTAAAGATGTGCAAGATCATGGTGTGGTTCATGCCCTTCAAATGAGTGATAATATCATTGAAAGAAGAGAAATCTTGAAACATGCCATGTCATCATTAAAATCGAAAATTCAGGAACAAGGTGCTCTCATCAGTAAAGAGGGTTCAGACAAGACACAATATGAAAAACTAACACAACAATCCAAGTCCATAAGAGAATTTAAAAAGATTCAATTCCAAGAAAAGGAGTTATTAGATGTTATCAAAAAGTGTAGCGAAAAAACTGTTTCTCATTTACAACTGTTTGAAGTCGTAGAAAGAATTCTCAACAGCGTTGCAAAACAAATGAATGAATTACTAGGCCACGAAGAATATGCATATCAAGACATGCTTGATCCATTGAGTAATACTCATATTTTCTCTTTAGGTTCAACATTGTTAAACTTGGATATTGTCTTTTCTCCTGACAAGAAAACATTGACTAGTGTTAGTTTTCAAAAGACTAAAAAAGATTCGAGCAGCTCAAAGGAAATCAAGGCAATCTCGGAAGATTTAATGAACGCGCTTGTGAGAGATAACCTTATTGAAGTTTTTGAGAGCAAATTACTTGCTGTTTGCAAATTATATCATTTAGTATCAACCCGTACGAACTGTATTGTGACAGACAAGAGTTCTTTGAGACCAGATTCTAATTTAACATCTTCCTCTGAGACTTTCTTAAAAAGCACAACAGTGATGAGAGAATTCGAGCATTACATTATACGTGAGAATAATTTTCCATCAGACAAAGTATCCATGAAATGTGATGGTATTTGGATCAACTACTATGGCGATAAGAATATAATTGTAACACTGGAGGCATGTGGTGGAAATGCTCTGAAGCAAACTTGTCCTGTTATGATATTTAATCCTCCTGTTTTCGTTCCACTCTCTGTGGCACGACAATTTAATTTCTTAAAACCTATTTCCAATACATTGCACAAGACAACAAATACACTCCCAAGTGAAAATATTGGAATTGATACTCAACAGACTGGCATTACTGAGTGGTCAAGTGAAATAATTGCGAGCGATCCCTATACCCAACCAATCACCCGAGAATTGGAAGCGTTCCAAAATTGTTTACTCCGAGGATTCAAAACCAATTCTTTTAAAAAGGTCCAAGACAGCACTTATCACTTTGTAGCAACTCAAGAAGTTTATTCCGACAAGAGGCTTGTCAGTTCTGCAGGAGTCATGATTAAGAGAATTCCATTTTTAACGTTCCCTCAAATGAGACAAACCATTGCAGAGGTCAAGAAACAAATGATATTGAGAGATTTAATGTTGTCATGTTTCAACTCAGAATCAACCATAGAACAGCAGCAAAAGAGCTTACTAACCAATCCAACATTCCAACACCACCACCATCATCATCATCACATGTACGATGAAAAGATCAAAAAGGTAGAAGTTGAATTTTCAACATCAGATATGGCCATTTATGTTAGAACGACCAATGATTTGGATTTTATTGTTTTTAAAATTGAGGTCGATGCATCGACTTTAGAACGAGTAGTCGTGTATTGGAACGAAGAACAGCACGACTCACTCACAAACATACTTGGCAAAACCATGAGCGTACCTATTATGATTCATTACTTTTACACAAAGGTTGTAATGAATGATGAGACGACTGCATAATAATAGTCGTCGCTATCTTATTTTCCCACACCTTACTTGTGTATCATCATCTCTCCAACGTAGTGATGGCGATGGAACGCGCCAAAAATTTACGTTTTTTTGAATTAAAAAAAATGAAGCAATTCAAAAAGCAGTACATTGTGGGATGTCGAGAACAAGGAATTGAACCACACCCAACCATTGTTAATCTTCCTGACGATGATGATTGTACTCAGACTTTAAATTTGGGAGAATTAACTCTTGGAACTAAGAATGGTATTGCTATCGGACAAGCACTGCATGGAAACCAAACATTTACTTACATCAATCTAGCAGAAAGCTATATGGGCGACTCTGGCGTTGATTCAGTGTGTCAAGGTTTAATACAGTCTCGAGTGATAGAATCGATTGATCTCAGAGGTTCCAATCTGTATAGATCAAGCGGATTGGCACAACTCATTAGCAAAACATTCAGTCTAAGAGAATTAAAATGTGAGTGGAATAGTTTGGGAGTGTACGAAACTGGTGTATCGGAAATTGCTGAGGCTTTAAAACCCAACAAATCAATCCAAACTTTGGATCTTCGAAACAATAAGATTACTCCAGAAGGTGCCAATGCTCTTGCAAATGCAATCAGAGTGAACAACTCCCTGCAGTCGGTTGACTTGAGATGGAATTACATTGGTGTAAGAGGAGGCAAATACATTCTTGAAGCCCTTCACGAAAATTATATGATCACAGATTTGAAGGTGGGTTTACTCATACAATAATATGAGAATTATGTCTTACAAAATTATTTAGCTCACTGGTAACGAAGTTGACTTTAAAACGCTTCAAGAAATTGATAAAATTACAAGAAGAAATTATGACATGCAAATAACCAAACAAAAGGAAACTGAGATGTCCAGTAGGCTAAAATCGGAGATATCCGAGATGAGTAACATTCAAAATGTATGTTTTCTTACAGTAATGTCAAGTCACTAACCTTCTACAACAGAGACGAATTGAAACGTTACAAACACAAGTCATCACACAACAAAATACTTACTCGAGTCAAATACGAGGTGCTCACGAACAAATTTCTGAGCTGGAAAAACAAAATATTCGCTTAATTTCGGACTTGAAAGAAACAAAGGAAAACGAACAACGCTACTATAGTAAAATGAAGGAATTTGAAGAAAAGATTTTGCTTTTGGAGCAGAATTTGGCTCATGAAACAAAGAGCCATATTGAAACTAAAAAGAATTTAAGGGAATCCACAGACGAATTGCAAAAGTGCAAAGAGTTGATCGATGACTTACAAAAAGAAAAAAGTAGAAATGAAGCAACGATCAAAAAGCTCAATGAACAGTTGACCGTAAAGGAGGAATTGTTAGTGGGCACCAATCAAAAACTCTACAGCGCCCAAAACGATAAAAGCGAGTTGAATGCTCAGCTTATTGACACTCATCGGCAAATTGAAATATTGCAAAGCAGTTTGAGATCCTTGACCTTAATTGAGCAAGAATACAGCAAAATACGACAAAAGATTTCAGAAATGGAAGTGGAAAAGGAGAGAGCTCTCATTGATCTCAAGAGCAAGTGCGACGAAGACAAAATTCACTCAGAGAAGCTCTTTAATGAAAAGTTACAATATGAAAAGGAAAAGTTTAACCAACTGGAGAAGAACATGAACGACTGAAGAACAAATGCAAGCAACTGGAATCAAACCTCACAAAAGTAAATGAGAAAATTCAGCTCATAGACAGGCAATTAACAGATACCACCAATGAATCAGAACAAAAATCTCTTTTGATTAATCAATTACAACTCAAACTAAAAGATGCAGATGAACAAACAGTTAAGAGCGCGGAGAAGCTTAATCAACTCTCACTTAATCACAAAAAGGAGCTAGATACTTATCAATTTAAGCTGGACTCGAAGGAAACTCAAGTAACTCAATTGGAAAAAGAAGTGAGGCAGCTGCAATTGGAAGCAGTAAGGTTGAAGGAGCAGCAGGATAAAAACTTGTATACTATTGAATCTAGGATTACTCAAGAACTTAAATCGATTATCAATGAGTTGAAACGATAAACCTAAGTCCCTATATTTGAGAATTATTTTTGAGCATTCTTCTCCTGTTCTCTAATTCTTCATCTTCTTTCTCGATAAGTTCTTTGTACTTGGTTCTCAACGAAAGGCAAACTTGTCGAGTGAGTCTATAAAATAAAAACATATTCTTTGTCAACTTGATATGATCATACATGGTACATGGATCTGAGTTGATAAAATGCAAAACATCTCCCATGTTATCCATTTCCAAAAGATGTGATTCATAAATTTTCAAATAACTTAGCACTGTTCTGAAAAGAATTTTGTTTCCTTCAGCAAAGACCAAATCAAGAATTCTCATTGTTGTTTCTATGAGAGTGATCGCGACAACAAGTTCAAATGCCATGAATTGTTAAAGAATTTTCACATACCTATAGGAAAAATGTCAACGAACACACGCATAAACCAACCACTACTAAATGCCGTACAATCTAATTTGAGCTTTTGGAAGTGAGCATGCATTTTAGGTAGTCGATTTTTAATCAGTTCATCTAAGGCTCGAGAATCAATTCTAGAGTTTGTACCCATGATTATCAATGAATATAACAATGATAATATTCAATGCTATTCCAATGATATTGAAACTACCTACCGTACTCCTGTCAATTGTGGATTATAAAAATTTTTTGGTAAAATTTCTTCCACAAGCTCCACAAATAACCAAAAGGCAGTTTCTTCATCGCAATGTAGTAAGAGCATGGCAACAATATAATTCCTATATGAGTCATATGGTTATACATGATATGGTTAATATGGTTATACATGATGATTTTCACAATATTCACAATTCATTATTGAATTCAACAAACACAACTATAGATACCTACATGGATTGAGTATAACTTATATATGGAGATCTCCATGAGAATGCAATTAAAATTCTCTTCAATTGTTCTCTTCCTTTAGAATTTGCATGTCTGAAAAAAGGATGATGAGGAAATGTTCTTGATAAATCCAAATCAATTTGATGTTCAGCTTCGTTATAAATATTTTGATGAACTTGTAACATTTTCTGATAATATCCTTGATTTTT